ATCCTATCAATGTCATGACGAATGTCCTTAAGTAATGTAGCCTAGTTGTCAGCAAGCATAAGTGTTTATTGAGATTGACATAAGAAAAAAAAAAACCTTTCGTAACTGGCAGTAAAATCGTGTGATCTGACCAGGGCTTTACTAGTGCCATATCTGTTCAATAATCATAAGGACGCTTGTGTTGTGTTAATAAGCAAGAGGAAAAAAGTAAGTGCTTTTTAATATTCTTTGGTCTGGTATTACAGATCGATGAAAACGGGTATTAAACCAAAATTTTATAAATAAACAATATCACTGGTGTCAAATCCAGTTCCTGGAGGGCCGCAGCTCTGCATAGTTTAGCTTTAATCCTAATTAAACACACCTGATCAAACTAACTGAGTTCTTAAGGCTTGTTTAAAAACCTACAGGTAAGTGTGTTAGAGCAGGGTTGAAACTAAACTGCAGAGCTGCGGCCCTCCAGGAACTGTATTTGACACCTATGGTTTAGATCAATGGTCTCAAACACAGTTCCAGGAGGACTGCAGCTCTGCATAGATTAGCTCAAACCAGCTCCAACTCACACCTGCTTAATAGTTGATGGAACTAATCAGGTGTTCAAGACTACTTGAGACTGTGTTTGATTAGGGTTGGAACAAAACTGAGCTGCAGCCATCCAGAAATCAAGTTTGAGACCTATTTTAGGATGGAGATTGCAATAAAGTGTAAAACATATTATTCCATTACCTATTTTACGCTACAAAGAGCAATTTTCTGCTCCAGCCTAACCATATTTAGGAGTCAATAGAGCAGGGGTGGCCAACCCTGTTCCTGCAGAGCCACCTTCCTGCAGATTTCAGTTGCAACCCATATCAAACACACCTGCCTGTGATTATCACGTGGTGTTCAGGTCCTAATTACTTGGTTCAGGTGTGTTTGATATGGGTTGCAACTGAAATCTGCAGGAAGGTGGCTCTCCAGGAACAGGGTCGGCCACCCCTGCCATAAAGTGAACATGTTTCATTTACTCTTGCATCTTAAATGTGTTTCTCTGCCATCAGGTGTTGGGAATCCACGTGAACAGATGGAGGTTGGACTTAAGGCTGGGCATCTACGTGCTTGTTCTATATGCAATCTTCCTCACCTTTTCCATCATGATTGAATACAACGTCTTTACCTTTGTCAACCTGCCCATGTGCATAGAGCTGGAGGAGTAAGCCAGAAGTTCTCCATGGGCTTTGAACCAAAATACCTCCGACAACCAAAATCACCAATGAATCTGCTGTTTCTCCAGTTCAATCTGCTCTACTGTTAAAAGAAACACACTGTTCCTCGTTGCACATTCACACCACTGTGGCTCAGATGGAAGAACTACATCTCCCAAAAAAATCAAATTACAAAAAAAAAAAAAAAATCACTGACTTTCTCTTCTTCACCAATTTCCAGGAACCGAAATTCTCCTTGGCAGCTCCTTTTTGTAACTGGAAATCCTTTCCACTTCTGAACCTCGGACAATCACAACGCAGCCCCATCTAAAAAAAAAAAGAAAAAAGTCTTTACCGGATCGTTCAGAGCAGGAGCATTCAAACGGTCACACTTTCATCACACGCCACTGACAAAGAATGCTGCTCATTCCTGTGTGCATTAGCAATCTACATTTTTCGAATTTCTGTCTTCCCTTGAGACACTGTCTGACATGAACGTGAACATAATGCACTTTATATGTGGCATAAAACATCTATATTCTATTAATTTATTTCCTCCAGTATGGAAAAATGAAAAATACGTCCTTGATGTGGGCGCAATAAAACGGCGGAACTGCCCTCGAGCAAGAAACTGATTCTCGCAGCTCGTTGCACACAAGAAAACTGTTGAAAATCACACGCATTCCAGATGTGAAGGGTTTTCTCGATCATGCAGCGGGGGGTGCGAGAGACTGTATGGGCTTCTTATGAGCTGGATGATGTATTTCCAGCTGAGAGCCTCCGGCAGGGTTCCCATTGGAGGAGAGGTCAGCGAGGAGGAGCAGAAGCTCTGCAATTAGACACGTTTTGGTTTCCCCGTTTCTCATTCCAGACCTGCATTAACCAGTGAATGGAACCAATCATAAAGCACACATCAAAAGCTGCTCCTCACCTCTCATTCAGACCAGAGCAGAAGACCCTCAGGACCGCTCGTTGCTCGTTTGGCGGTGTGGAAGATGAGACTGATGATAACTGCTTTACAATTTCGTACACACACTGATGAGATCCTGGATTTTTTGCAAACATGCTCCAAGTTTGTTGTTTATATGTAGATATCTAACATCACTGATCCTGTTTGAACCAGTGCTTCCTTACAGTAGAAGGGAGGGAGGGTGGATTTATATCCGTGACCTGAAGAGGCCACCTTTTCTTTATTTCCAATGCACTCTCTCCTCCCTCTCTGGATCTTTATTACCGTTTGTCTGTAATGCATGATTTGACACAGAGAAGCCATTTCTAAAGCAGGGCAAAAAGCTTTGTGAGCTCACAGTAAGGATGAAGCTCATGATGATGTGCCTAGGTCATATTTCACACTCAAATTAAAAAAAAAAACATTTATTTTATTGCGCAGGGGCTTCAAAGTAGTATTTGGGTTAAGATTAAATATTATTTATTTATCTATCTATTATAATTATTATCATTATTTAATGAATAGGGTTTATTTTCATGACAATTCTGCACATTTTCAATCCAAATTCTCAATAATGTAATGTATCAATTTAAAACCTAAAATCGTTAAAAAAAACTATATAAATATATTATATAATTATATATAAATTAAAATCCGTTATAAGTGTTAGTATGTTTCATATTTAAATGTGTTTTTGGATATACTTTAAAATAAATTATAATTATAATAACTAAATTACAATAAATTATATTTATCTTTAATGTTTTTTTGTAACTTTTTTTTTTTACAGAAAAAAAGAAATCTTTATTGCAGCAATTCCAAAAATCTATTTGTATTTTTGTATTTTTTTTTACAGCAATAAAAATATTATTGAGAATTGAGGTAGAAAATGTGCCTAATTTCATTTCCATGATGAGATATATGTATATACTTGTATGTTTTGTACTTCTGTTTGTTCACAGCAATGAAATATTATTAAGAATTGAGGTGGAAAATGTGCTTAATTTCATTACCATAATATTTATATATGAAAAGTTTAGATGCATACACACATATTAGGGTGTAATTTTCCTCTGAAATTAGTATCAGGCTCAGTAATATCAATTTTATGGCAAAGAATAAGTCCTTTTCCTGGTCCTCAAAGTAAAATATCTCAACATAAACAAAGGAGCCTGAAAAAAATGTTAACTTTTGATGTAAATTTCAGACAGCACTCAGAGGTTTTTGCGTCTGTTTTGCCATTATGGTAATGACTTAATTTCTGGTTTTTTTTTTTTACGCATTATTATAAGCAGTGTGTTTCCCCTTTGCAGTAATGATGGTAAAATCTAGATCTATACTGTCTTCTTAAAAAAACATATAATAATTATAGTTTTCACATTTTGGGGGTGAAATATGACCAAACCACATTCATTACTGCTTTCCAGAGATTGACCCATAAATGGCAGCTACTAGACCCAATTCAACCAAATGAGCTGCTAATGGGCTCAGAAGATCGGAACTTGAGCTTGGAGGAACGTGTCTTTTGTGTCTTTCGTCAGTCGTAGAACCTGTCGTTGTTTAAGTGCTAGGAGGTGCTGTCGCTGTTGTCTGTGCAGAAAGACAGGTGTTGCAGTATTTGATGTACACATTATATATGATATATGCAATCTCAGTCGGCGAGGGCTGAGTTACGGGGATTATATATTTTCATAGATGAGCCATTTTTGTGAAAGCTGCTGAAATCGCCCACCGCTGTTACACGTGCATGCAGATTCTGTCATCTAATCTCACGTCATCACAGAATTACAGTACCATTCTGTACAATGTTGACTTTAGTTTATAGTGGCTATACGTACTGTGTGGAATGACGGTGGTGTCATGTGATGATTCTCTCTCTTTTTATTTTCGTCTTTGTTCTGTGGTGTTTCTCAGTGGTGATCTGTGTGATACATTATTCAGCAGAAATAGATACACCATATGCATACTGTTGAAGGAGCATCTCCATGTTATATAGTCTTTTTCCAGCGTTAAATGAATTCTTTGGTGCCAGTATTTCAGTACTTATTACGTTCCTTCTCTGTTCTGTATGTTAGTTTCCTTCCTATGGCAAGCTGTTTTAAAGAAACACCACTTTTTTGGGGGGTAACAGGCTTATTTTACAACACCACTAGAGTTAGACAGTTGATTTTTAGAATTTTTTTTAATCCAGTCAGCTGATTTTGTGGACGGTAAGGGGCACTTTTAGCTTAGCATAAATCATTGAATTGGATTAGACCATTAGCATCTCACTCAAAAAGTTAAAAAAAAAAAAAAAAAAACATTGATAGTTTTAAAGCTTGATTCTTCTGCATGTACAATGTGTACCAAGAAAGACAGAAAATAAAAAGTGGCTAATTTCTAGGTTAAATTGTCTAGGAACTATACACTCATTCGGCATAATAATCAAGGAACTTTGCTGTCATATCATGGCTGCAGCAGGCGCAATGATATACAATGATATAACTGTGTAACACCAATGCGCCTGCTGCAAACATCCGACTACATTAGAGTTCAGATTTAAATGGGAAATTTATCAAAATCATTTTTTTAGCGAGATGCTAATGGTCTAATCTAATTCAATGATTTATGCTAAGCTAAGCTAAAAATGCTTCCACCAGGCCAGGGATCAGTTGAATAGATTTATACATAGTAAAAAATCCACTCTTTAAATCTAGGGGAGTTTTAAAATGAGAATATTTATCCAAAAAGTGGAGTGTTGACATTTATTCTATAAACACTACTAGTGTCTATTTTGCTAGTATCTATTTTATATAGTAGTATCTTGTTTATTTAGTATTAATATTTATTTATTTATTTGCAACTAATTCTTTAGTACATTTTTAAATATATATTTATAATAAATTCTAGTTTTATTTATTAGATACTATAGCATTTAATCATTAGACATTAGTTCTTATTTATTAGATACTAGCATGTAGACATTAGGCACTTATTAAAATGATTCTAGTACTTTTTCATTATTGATACTAGTACCTGTTTAATAAATATTAGTAGTTATTTATTTGGCACTGTTACTTGTTTATCACACATTATCATCATATGTATATATAACTGGTACTAGTCACAAAAGCTTATTATTACTTGACTACACTCTAAAAATTCTGAGTTGTAGCCCGACGTTGGCTCAAATGTGGACAAACCCAACTGTTTGGATTACTAATGAAATAACTTTTAGTTCATATTAATTAGATACAAGTATGTAATAAGTTATAGTATCTTTTTAAAGGCACTAATAACTACAGATTAAGCACTAAAAGGGATAGTTTATCCAAAAAAAAAAAATCCACTACTTACTCATTGTTCACTTGTTTGTTCCGTTGAACACAAAAGAAGATATTTTGCAAAGAAAAGTTGATTGCTGGGACCCATTGAATTTGTCTTGAATTGTTTTTCACCAATATGGAAGTGCTTCAAAATATCTTCTTTTCTGTTCAGAGAAAAAAAAAAAAAAAAAAATATATATATATATATATATATATATATATATATATATATATATATATATATATATATATATATATAAAACACTCAAATGTTTAAAACCACACGAGGGAAAGTAAATGATGAGGTAATTTTATTTTTTGGGTGAACTACCCCTTTAATTAAAAAAGTATCTAAAGTACTAGTATCTTTAAAAATAAACATATTGTAGGAACTATTAGGATCAAAATAGATCTACGATTTATAGCAGTGGTCTCAAACTCAATTCCTGGAGGGCCACAGCCCTCCAGATTTTAACTCCAACCAGCTCACAAATGCTTAATAGTCTAGCGCTCCTGAACACCTTGATTAGCTGGATCAGCTGTGTTGGACGAGGGTTGGAGCAAAACTGCAGAGCTGCGGCTCTTCAGGAATCGAGTTCGAGGCCCATGGTTTATAGAGTAAATGTAAATGCGGCTTGCCATATCTTTACTGATTGTTTTGACATCTCTTTTGCCAGTGCAATATAGACAGTGCATTCATCTACTGTATTTAATAACTCTACAAGCTTTTTGTTAGCACAATCTCCTTATAATGACTTTGTTGCGATTACTCCGTGCCATGCTTGATGTAATATTTGAACTGAGATGAGTATTTTTTTTTTTACTTTAACTGTATTTTGTAAACTTTGGACCTCCGGGGTGATTTGATTCATTATTTCATCTGGTCGCCCCAGACTGGATGTCTTTGTTGCCAGTTGTACAGCACTCTCACATGAATAGTCTTTATGCACTGTCCACCGTAAACCTCTTCAGAGGGCAAACTCTTAAAGCAACGCATGGATATGCACAAGAGTATGAGAACCACTCATGCGGACTCTTGATTGAACATACACACACACACACATGCGCAAACAGACATGCGCAGCTTCACGAGTGACCTGCTGCACTGTGAGTGGATCGGCATATAAGAAACCTTTCGGAAGGTCTACAGATTTAATGATTTTTCGGCAAACGACGCTGGTGTGTAACTTGAATGTATTGTCTTGCAAGCAATGGATGTATTCAACCAATGCATTTTACTGTAAAGCAATAATCTAAAAACGAATATAAACGACGATATATGAATCATGCGAGTATTGTATGGGAGAAAACGATTAAATTATACCGTTCATAAATGTTTCTTGGGTGTCTGTCTTGCTTTTGGTCATTGGGTGAGTGTTTGGCGCCCTCGCATGTGTATAAACGAAGAGTGCAGTTTTGGCCATTTTGTGTTTTCTTCTAAGATGGAAACACTGCTGACCTTCTGAATCCCTTCCAGAGACTGTGGAGAAATGGGTGAGTTTTCTTTGCTTACTTCGGACTCCGCTGCTGTTTCGTGTTTGAGTCTGCAGGTCGACGCTTGATGTTTGTTTGGTAGTGACGATACCGGAAGTATCGGAGTGCTTCAGGAAAGCGTTTCGGTTAGAGGGGGCCAAGATGGCGTCGTAGCAAGTTGCTTTTGCTGTAGCTCTTAAAGTTTGCTCGGACCCGGGAATAAGTTCATGTTCAGGAACTAACTCAAATATGTTTCAAAAGTTATGAGCTAAAAAGCTATCGTTCTATTCGTTTATTTTCTTTTTTAGTTTTCTGTTTGCTGAGTTTGAAAGACGAGTGCTTTTGGTAGCTATATTTGCTAACTTAAACGGGTTGCTAAAACTGCTGCAAAGACTATGGACGAAAAAGAAGAAACCGTAGTCGCAATACACAGCTATGCAAGAAGAAATCTAATTTCTGAAATGGATATACAGCCTGGGCAATTTGTGTCTTTACCTGAAACACCCGAACCAAATCCTGCCAAAAAAAGTAAACCAAGCTCTGACAGTCCTTCGGTGAGTGATGCAACGTTAATGAGATTCTTGCAGAGGATGGAAGCCATGCACGAAGAGACTTTGCGCCGAATTCATGGGGTTGAAAAAACGGTACTTGAAAACTCAAATTCTATTAAACAGATAATCAACTCCCTCGAGTTCCAAGGTGAAGAAGTAAAGTGCCTGAACGAAAAATCCAAAGAATTTGAAAGAAAAATCGAAAAACTAGAGAAAGTCAATGACAAACTTCGTGAGAGGTGTAATGATAATGACGCATACAAGAGAAGATGGAATTTACGTGTTGCTGGCGTTCCAGAAAAAACAGGGGAGAATGTAAAACAGATGATCATCGACCTCTTTAAGCAGGTTTCACCAAACATCGCAGCAGAGCTGCCCGTCGGAGTAGACATCGCGCACCGCTTAGGACCGAGATCTGCTTCAGAAAAATCCCCTCGCCGCATCATAGTCCTGTTTTCATCGCGATCACAACGGGACAGAGTTTGGAATGATGCCAAAACGTCAAACTATCTCAAGGAAAAGAAAATTAAGATCTTTGAGGATCTTTCACAGCAAGATAAGGATGCAAGATCTCTCCTGTGGCCGATGGTAGAGAAAGCGAGACAAGAGGGGAAGAGAGCTGGCTTTCACGGTCCTTTTGCTGTGATTGAGGGTAAAAGACTGACCGCTAAAGATGTAGCAGCTAACATTTAAAGCATGGTACTTGCTCAAAAAGCAACCTTTTCTGTTAGCAATTAGCCTTATAAATGTAAAGAGTGAATCTAAATCTAGTATTATTATTATTTTAATTATTATTTATTTTATTTTCGTATATACATATGTTTATTAAGAAGTGTTAGACTTATTGCACAAAAATGAATCTAAACTATTAGATAACTTATTGTTTTTTTATTTATTTTTTATTTATTTATTTTATTATTATTTTTTTTATTATTATTCAAATGTTTTGTTTTATTAATATTTTTATTATCATATATAATAAGTCTTGGCTCTTTTCTAGACTTCTAGGAAGTTTAACCACAATAACAATGTTAGTTATTTACTGAACTTGTACAGTAGTTATTTTTTTACTTGTAGATTATTCCCGGGTGGGTATTTGTCGTTGATTGCCTGTCTTTGATATAAGTAATATAAACAAGTAGATTTTCTTTGCTTCACAGGTTCTTTTTTATTTTAGTTAGTTTTCCTGGTGTTCCTGTTTAAATGTCATTGTCATTAATATCCTTTAACGCCAGGGGTCTCAGGGATAGTGTCAAAAGGAAAGCACTTTTTTTGTTCGCTAAAAAGCACAATTCAGATTTTTGTTTGATTCAAGAATGCCATTCTACTAATGATGATTACAGGTGGTGGAAATCTCAGTGGGGAAATGATATTTGGTGTTCACATGGCACAGAACACTCGGCTGGTGTAAGCATCTTCAGAAATAAATATGGAGGGGAGATATTAGGGTCAGATTCAGATAGCTTGGGTCACTTTCTCGTATTAGTGATTTCACTTAACCAACAAACTGTAATTCTTGGGAATATATATGGATACAATACTTCAACAGATAATAAAATTCTTTTTGATAAATTAGATGAAAAGCTTACATATTGGTCAAACAAATTCCCTAAGGCATTTATCATTTTAGGTGGAGATTTTAATGTATCTATTAACAATTTATTAGACAGATATCCCTCAAAAAGCGCAGCTTGTTCAAGTCCAACTCTGTTAGACCTACGAGACAAATTTGAGTTGGTAGACATTTGGCGAGAGAAATTTCCTAATAATGTGGAGTATACCTGGTCCAACAAAAGTGGCTCAAGTCAATCCCGAATTGATTTTTGGCTAATCTCAAAAGATATGGCTAAGTTTGATCTACATACTAGCATTCAATGTACACCTTTGACTGATCACAAAACTATCTTACTCAATACACCATTAATGGCAGATTACAAAATGGATCATAAGAGAGCCTCTTTGTGGAAATTGAACAGCTTGATATTAGAATCAGATGATGTAAAGGATAAAATTAAAGAGTTAATTGCTAAATATTGGAAAACAGCCACAACTCAAAATTCATTTTGTTCATATTGGGAGCTTCTTAAGTTTGAAATTGGTGTTTATTTAAGAAAAGTTGGAGCCGATTTAGCTAAAAAAAGAAAGATTCTTGAAGACAGCCTGATCAGTAGTTTATCTAAAACTTCTAATTTCGATGTCATGTCGTTAGAAGAAAAATCTGAAATTGTAGCTTTACAAACAAAATTAGATGATTTATACTTATCAAAGGCTAGGGGTGCTTATATAAGATCTAGGAAAAAATGGCTTGAAGAGGGAGAACTTAATTCTGCATATTTTTTTAAACTGGAAAAGCGAAATTATTCCCTTTCAACAATTGAACAACTACGTATTAATGGAAATATTGTTAAAGATCCTAAGGAAATAGCTGAATTTAGTGCTAGCTTTTATACAAATCTTTATAAATCAAGATGCTCAGAGGATACTTCTTCCTCATTTATGGACTCAATTAACTATTTAAAGCTTATATCTGACTCTGACTCTGAATTTTGTGATGGCAATATAACTTCGGAAGAAATACAAAGTGCAATTAAGAGTTTAAAAAATAATAAAGCCCCTGGGTGTGATGGATTTACAGCAGAGCTGTATAAATTGTTTGCTGATGATCTTACTCCATTTTTATCTAATGTTTTTAAAGAAAGTATTGAAAAAGAAACTTTACCTCCTACGTTGACACAAGGTGTCATCACACTAATTCCTAAACCTAAGAAAGATCTTAACAATTTGGACAATTGGCGACCCATCACACTCCTTAACAATGATTATAAGATTTTTGCCACAATATTTGCCAAAAGAATTAAAAATTGTTTAGATACTATTATAGATGAGACTCAATCAGGATTCATGAGGGGGCGACACATAATGAATAACATCAGGCTAGTTTTAGATTTGTTGGACTATAATGAGTTGGTGGAACATAATAGCTTTATTCTTTTCCTAGATTTTTATAAAGCTTTTGATACAATTGAACACAATTTTATTTTTAAATCAGCAGAAAAATTTGGTTTTGGTAATTTTTTTTGTAAAGCAATAAAAACACTTTATTACAATTGTAATAGTACAATTAAATTAAAATATGGCACTTCTCCCAGATTTTATTTATCACGAGGTATAAGACAAGGGTGTCCATTGTCTCCTTATTTATTTTTATTAGTTTCCCAAATATTCGCTTCCTTTATATCTAATAGTGGTCTTAATGGTATTCGTATAGCTGACAAACAAATTCTCATCAGTCAATTGGCTGATGATACCACGCTTTTTCTGCAAGATGTTAATCAAATTGCTGTAGCCCTTAAATATATCCAGATATTCTCTAAAGCATCAGGCCTATCCTTGAACCTTTCAAAATGCGAGTTAATGTCCATCAAAGAATGTAATCTATCTGAAATTTGTAATATTAAAATCAGAAATCAGATATCTTATTTAGGTATTATAATAACAAAAAATGAATTAGAAAGAGGCTCTTTAAATTTTAATCCAATAATTGAAACAACAAAGAAAAAACTTAATATGTGGCTCCAACGTGATCTGTCCTTAAAGGGTAGAATCTTACTATCTAAAGCTGAAGGTTTATCAAGGTTAACATACGCTGCTCTCTCCTTAAATGTTGATTCAGCCACTCTTAAAAAAATTGATACTATGCTCCTTAACTTTGTTTGGAAGAATAAAACTCATTTTATTAGGAAATCTGTACTCGGGAATACTGTAGAGAAAGGAGGCTTAAACTTTCTTGATTTCACAACATTAAACAATACCTTTAAAATAAATTATATAAAGAACTGTCTCAATAACCCATTGTCTATATGGAATCTGATCCCTAATGTAATTTTTTCCAAATTAGGTGGATTAAAATTTTTATTAATCTGTAATTATAATATTTTGAAAATCCCCATAAAATTGTCCCATTTTCATAGGCAAATGTTATTAACTTGGTCCCTCATATTTAAACACAATTTTACACCTCATTCATATATAATTTGGAATAACAAGAACATCTTGTATAAAAACAAATCTATATTCTTCAATAACTGGTTTAAAAATGATATAATTTATGTGTCTCAACTTTTCAACGATAGGGGTTTACTTTGTAACTACTCTGAATTTTTAGTTAAGCACGGAATTCCCGTAAGCCCCAAAGACTTCGCTATTGTTGCTGATGCTATTCCACAAGGTGTTTTTATGCTTTTTAAAGGACTTTCATTTCCAATTACTTTTCATTCAGCGGACCTTTGGAAAACATTTATTGGTAAAAACTGCCTTTCTTTATCTAAATTAAAATGCAATAAGAAAATAAGAGCCCTGTTTCAGGAAGATTTTGTTACTGTACCTTATGTAATGTCATATTGGAATGGTTTTGTGAATGATATTTCCTGGAAGAAAGTTTGGACATTACCCCACAAATTTTTTATAACAAACAAAATAAGAGAAGTTACCTTTAAACTGATTCATAGATGCTATCCAGACAAGTGTAATCTTAAAAGACTTAAGAATGATATTAACACCAACTGTTCATTTTGCTTAGTGAATCCTGAGACGTCTGTTCATTTATTTTGGACTTGCCCTCATTCAATGTCATTTTGGTGTGATGTTCTTGATTTTATAAAAGTTTATGTGAAGGCAGATTTTGAATTTACATATAAGAATGTTATCTTTGGTTTCCATGATTGTGAAAAGGAAAATAATACCTATTTCATGAACCTTGTTTTTTTGTTGGCCAAATTTCATATTCACAAGAGCAAGTTTTGCAAGTGTAAACCTTTTTTCCCTAAATTTAAAATTGAAATGAAAATGTATTTTGAGTGTATTAAAGGATCAACCAACTTAAAAGCAATACGAACGAGGACTTTGATGAAGGACTTGGCACTTATCTTGGACTAAATGACTAAAAACCCCTGGATTGTTGCTGTTTAATTCATGACATTTGTTGTTATTGTTTTTCAAGCATTCAATAAAAAAAAAAAAAAAAAAAAAAAAAAAAAAAAAAAAAAAAAAAAAAAAAAAAGAAAGCGTTTCGGTTGGGGGTCACTCACTACCGTTATACGCGTTTATTATTACAGACTTGCATTAACGCGTACCTGTGGCGTGCAAGGTGTAGACTTAGCAAAATCGCTGGTGACGTATGTAAATGTGGGCACTTGATTGTCAATGCCATTAAGCGTGACCTACATGTGTTTAAGACTTTTTTCCTGATTCCTGTAAGTTATTAGGCTGCTGTTTATCTTAAGAGAAACATGGGCTAACTTACTGTGTGTATAATTCATTTTTGCCTCTCTAAAGAGGTTCAAAGTTAATATTAACTAACAATACACACATATAAATGTCAAGTCATTGCTTTAACCAGTATAAATTAATCAAAAAATCTGTCGTTAATTTATATTATTTAAGCGTGTAATAACTAATTTACTAAACTAAACTGACAGACTGAACTGACTTGAGAATACTCAAGTGTGTGAAAATAAGTCAACTATTTGTTTTGACACTACATAGGCTAGTTATGCTTATGTTTTCAAGTCAGGGCTAGACTTTCAAGATAGACTTGAAAAACGCATATACTAGGCTAGTCTGAAACCTGTGTAACACGTTCATACTTCCATCATTGTCACTACCGAACATAAATTAATTTTATATTTAGATATCTGGGTGTGTATATGTGCCAGGATCAATTACTTGTTTACATTTCAAGGAGAATTACATTCTTTTAAATAATGAATTTGATCCTGCCACCAAAATATACTTGCATTATATACACGCACACACAGTTGAAGTCAGAATTTTATTTTATTTTTTAAATCTTTCCCAATGATGTTTAACAGAGCAAGGAACTTTTCACAGTATGTCTGATATATAATATTTTTTCTTCTGGAGAATGTTTTTTTTTGTTTGTTTGGTTTATTTCGACTAGAATAAGAAGCTTTAATTTTTTTAAACACATTAAGGTCAAAATGATCAGCCCCTTTAGGATATTTATTTCTATAGTCTACAAAACAAACCATCATTAAAACATATTCTTGTGGAAGGCCCTGTTTTTAATGTTATCAGACAACAATTTTTATCTTAAGAGACTTTAAATGAAATATTTTAAAAGTGAATCCTTATATTGTACAATTTTTATCAAAGGAAAACCTTAATGTTTTAGATTTTTATCTTATGTATTATCATTATTATTATTGTTTATGTATTTTACCTCATGTATTATTTATGTATTATTTATTACTGTTGACGACTTTTAATTGTTAGAATATTTTTTATTATAGAAAAGTGGTATTCATAAAATCCGGTAAACTTAATCTTTTTTTTTTTTTTTTTTTTTTTTTTGCCAAAGAAGCTAAAATGGCAATAAAATGAAAACTCTCTCAAACATTCGTTATAATACAATAACTTGCCTAATTACCCTAACCTGCCTAGTTAACCTAACCTAGTTAAGCCTTTAAATGTCACTTTAAGTTGTATAGAAGTTTATTGATATATATATAGACATTCTACCAGAAACATACCTTATCTGTCCCTGAAATAAAATGCAAGTACAGTGAATAAAAATTATTTAATCTCAAAAATGACCAAAATGGACTAATGGTTGATTTCTGTGAGTTTTGTAAAAAAAAAAATATGTCATTTATTTGGTGCTCAGATGTTTTTTTTTTTCTTTTCTGTTATTAAAAACGCTTTACAAATGTACAAACTCTGTCATTGTCTGCCAATTAAACCTACAGCTTTAATAGTTTTGTAATGCTAAAAACTGTTATTTAGGGGAAAAACTGAAATGGCAAGTTTAAGTTTTCATTCACATCAATTGATTAAAAACATCAAGTTACAAATAAATAACATTTTATGATTGCCCCTGTGTTTCTGTCCGTCCTATCACATTTGCATCGAAATGTGTGCAATACACCTTTAAGGCTATGACTCGGAAGTGACATTATTTGATGGAGGAAAAGCTGACAGTGATCAAGGATGGGTTTGATCATTGAATTGTATGATTTCTTGCTCATCTTTGTATGATTTCTTCAAGGTGGACAAGCTTAAAGGTTAGGCTCTGTCACATTTTTATAAGTGAAAATGCACATTTCTGGTAGAATGTCCCATGCACGCACACACATACACACAGTCAGAATTATTAGCCCCCCTTTGAATTTTTTTTCTTTTTTTAAATATTTCCCAAATGATGTTTAACAGAGCAAAGAATTTTTCACAGTATGTCTGATAATATTTTTTCTTCTAGAGAAAGTCTTATTTGTTTTATTATTATTATGGCTAGAATAAAAGCAGTTTTAATTTTTTTAAAACTAGTTTATAGACAAAATGATAAGCCTCTTTTGGCAATTTTTTTTTCCAATAATCTAAGAACAAACCATCATTATACAATAACTTGCCCAATTACCCTAACCTGCCTAGTTAACCTGATTAACCTAGTTAGGCCTTTAAATGTCACTTTAAGCTGTATAGAAGTGTCTTAAATCTCTAGTCTAATATTATTTACTGTTATCATTGCAAAGATAAAATAATTCAGTTATTGGAGATGAATTATTAAAACTATTATTATGTTTACAAATGTGTTGAAAAAAATCTCTGAAAAAAAATAAACGGGGCACATAATTCACGAGGGCTAATAATCAGACTTCAACTGTAAATTCACACACATTTAAACAGACAGCTTATTAAGTACAAGTAAAGTTTCTGTTTTCATTTTCTAATAACTGACTTTTAATTTTTTAATAATAACTGAAAATAAAAGTAAGCAAGCTTTTCAAATATGGGTGAAATCGTAATCTGTTGTCATTTATAATACGTTTATAAAATAAAATGAAACTGTGTGATTATTCAGGCACGTACTTATTAAAATATATAATAGAATAGAAATTAAATTTGATTATAATTTAAATCATTAAAACTTCTTGCTGATAAAATGGATACAAGTTTGACAGATAGTGAATTAAAAATGACTGAATGATGTTCTGCTGCACTGAGATACTTGTATTTTAATGTCATCAAAAAAGTAATTTATTATACACTGCTGTTACACTGAATGACATTTTAGTAACTATATTCTGTAAATCACAGTAAAACTGCATAAATCATGGAAAAAAAAACGCATTGCTGAAATAACAATCAAATAAATAAAAGCTTAAAGACTTTTTGCTTAAAAAACAATATTTTCATGACTGATATACAAGCACAGCTTTTCTATGAGAAAAAACATCATATTTTATCAGCACACCAGTAACCCATGTCCGTATGTTTCCTGCAGTGTTGTTGAAATGTGCGCGTGTGACAAACTTTCTCCAGCGTGCTGTCGGAACGAAAGGACTGACATACAGCACTCGAGCCAGAAAGAAACCAGGTATGATTTACAGACAGTTGTGTATTAATTACACCCTGCACCATCATGCATTAACCTTTACAACTGTGGGTTTACAGCAGCTTAAAACCATTAACCAGCTGGACTTTAAAACGTCTGGCTGTCAAAAAGCATATAGGAATTATCATGTGGCATTCAAAAGGTTTATCTCCGTCTGCTCTGCGGAGTATTATACGGAAACAGAGTCAGGATATTAAGAACACCTCCGGTATCGCAGCAGGTATGAAGGGTCGAACTAGGATTTAATGTCATGGCGTGTTTAATAAATACACTTTAATTCTTGTGTCTGTATTGCGGCTTTATCAATTGTGTTAGCCCAGTATATAACAGCTCGGCAAAAAACAACACATACTTATGTGTATGTGAATTATTTAAAGTAAATAAATGAATGAATCTGTTTACTAACATTTAAGTCAAGTGCTTTTATTATAATTGATCATTTGTCACCCTGGCGTCTTATGTTGCATGTTTAGAAATAGCCAACAATACATTATATAATCGCTAGAATATTAATTCAAGTTCATATTCCTTAAGGATATTTTGTAAATGTCCTACCATAAATATATCATACCTAATTTTTGGTGATTTACAGAAATTGGTATGAACTTAGTTTGGACTTAATGTTGAACTCTGGTGTGATTTCTCTGGACGTGCGATTTGTTCTTGATCAATATTTCATCAGTTAAGCTCCCAATTATTGGCATGATCAGATTACTAAATTGAAAATATAGATTCTTATTATATGGCTGTCTGGAATACTTGATTCTGATTGGTCAGTCATGACATTCCAAGGTATGTTATGTAAGGGATAAAGCAATGTTTCTCAACTGGTGGGTCGCGACCCAAAAGTGTTTCGCGGGAACATTTTCAGAGGGTCGCGGAGTGTGTGGTCTAAAAAACAACAAATGTTTATTTGAAACTTATTTTGATTATATCAGACTTTTAATTTGAAATGCACGAGCGACAACTGTACCATTTGACATGTAAAATTTCATTTAATTATAGCAACAATATGTATGAATAATTCTGTGGAAAATCTTATACACTTTAAACTAAGAATTTGGAAAATTGGAAGAAATAAACATTAAAAATGAAATATCATGGCCTTCATTAATAAGTCATGTAATTTCATAAAATATTTTATAGTATAATCAAAAAAAAAGTCTGTTAAAAGTGTAAATCATTGCAGTTGGATCTTGTGTGAATTAGTTTTCCACTTATTTTTTAAGTTTTGTGTAGCTATTCAACTTTTCAATTGTTACTATTCATGTTTCTTATGTAGCAAATAGTACTGCAGAAAATATTTAGATTGGATTTTACAATGTCTGTACGCATGGAAACTATTGTAGAATCTCACAGAGTAAACCGTTTCACTGACAGGATTTCAGCAGGCTAACGTGGTGATCTTGCACAAGGATCTTGCGGATGACTTTGAGGCGTTTTGTCGAGCTAACAGTAGCCCTCTCCCGCTGCTGTACAGGAGCAAATGTGGAGAATGGAGCGCCGGTCCTCTCGCCACGGCATCTGACATCAGGTATATTCACACCAACTGCTCATTCACTACAGAACTCAAATAAAAAGTCAAGTCAGCTGGAACTTTAATGTCATTCTGCTACATTTGTGGACGAACAGTGAAATCAAAGGGTCGCAGGACTACGGTGCTACATAAAAAACTTTAATCAACTCAACACTAGACATAAGAGCTTTTATAAAAATATACATGACTAACATACCAGAGTGGTAATCTAACTATACATATAACTATAAACTTAACATAAGACATGCTACACTATCTAACAAAAGTCTTGTCGTTTATCTCAGTTGTAAGAGCAACAAATAATTACTTGATGTCTAGTTGGTCATATGAAAAAGAGGCAGAAGGTAGATTTTTCTGAGGAATCTTCTGTTGAACTGCATCCCAATCATCAAAAATACTACAGACCTAATGCAACCCGCATGGACCCAAGGTACTCATAGAAATCAGTCAAGTTTGGTGAAGGAAAAATCATGGATTGGGGTTACATTCAGTATGGGGGCATCTGCAGAAAAGATGTCAACATCAACAGCCTGAGGTATCAAGACATTTGTCCTGCCCATTACATTACAAACCACAGGAGATGGCAAATTCTTCAGGAGGTTCGCACTCCTCATACTTCAGCCTCCACATCAAAGTTCTTGAAAGCAGAGAAGGTCAAGGTGCTGCAGGATTGGCCAGCCCAGTCCCCAAACATAAACATTATTTAGCATGTCTGGGGTAAAATAAAGGAAGCATTGAAAATGAATGCAAAGAATCTTGATGAACTCTGGGAGTCCTGTAAGAACGCTTTGTTTGCCATTCCAGATGACTTTATTAATTTATTGGAGTCATTGCAGAGATGGATGAATGCAGTCCTCCAAGCTCATGGGAGTCATATACAATATTAATTCTCTTTCCACTGCAGCATGACTTGATAATCTATACTGTACATTATTTCTGTTAAGTGACAAGGATTTTGTCAGAAAGTCAGACTTTACTGTTCTAATTAAATGATTAAAAATCGAGGCATGATCATATTTTATTGTGATAAAGCGTAATCTAGAGGCCTTCGCCTTTCATAAAAGCCACTTCTGACACCAAATGATCAACTAGATTTTAAGTTACTATTTGTTGTTCCTAAAACTTGGATAGGCGACAAGACTTTTGTCAGGTAGTGTATACAAGTACTTTTACAAAAGATGGATCAATATTGTGCAAGATATTATGCAAGAAGAGGTATTTAAGGTTATATAAAATTAGTAATGTAACATGATTTGTGGTAAATTCACAGGTAAACATGGCTTTCCTTTTTAAGTTCTTGTAAGATGGAGTTTACGTAAAGTGTCCAGTGCATTTAGAGTGAGGAGTGTTTTTACAGGTTTGTCAAGCCCGCTCTCTTGTGTGAAGCAACACATTTAGAAATCCACATTGTTGTTTTTTTTATGAGTATGGAGTGATTGTAGGAAAGTGCCTGGTGCAAATGTGCAAACTGTTCTGGGAAATGTGTCAGATGAAAAATAATTTTAGTTTTTATTTGATTTCAATCGATTTAATGTAAAAGCTCAATTTCAGAACATTGCTCCACGCTCGCATTGTAAATCATTAGATATTATTTGTGCTTTGACATAAATGTATCATTTTGCGTTATCTTTTATGATACTACTACTAACTAGCCTTAACTATTGAGTGTTTACTTTCATGCTTTGATTTTAATCTAGTCATTCATAATTCTTGACCTAGTACTAAATATGCTTAGTCACAGATGGGTGTAAAAGATTAATCTAATTTTACAACAGAGTGGATCATCCTGTTATTTAATAGTTACACTTAGAGACTTTCCCAGCTAATTTGAACACAGTTGTACGTCCTAAAAATGTTTTTAACAGACTTTTGATACAAATGTTTAATGAACTATTGAGTTTTCATTTACTACAGTGCTGATCAAAAAAGTTGGTCAAATGTTTATTTACACACAAAACGCATGGTATACATATTCTGTCAACTCGAGATCATGATAGTCAGGTTAAGGATTATCTCTGCAGAGCATGTGCCTGAAATCATGTGTCATCCATGTTTATTCATTTCTCACAAGAGATTTGGTGCAGCTCCCTTCTCTGTTAAAGGATAAGTGATTGTAATTATAAATATCACAAATTTAAATTCATTTCCAAGGCAGGAAGAAACTACCAAAAGTTAGAGAAGGAAACTGGAAATGAATATCTGACTGTATCAATGCAGGTCAGTGGTGAAAAGAGTACTGAAAAAATCATACTGAACCATTACTTGCCTGAAAATGTAGTGCAAGTAGAGTTAGAGTATCTATTGTAAGTATTACTCAAAGTATGGGTTAAAAGTTGCCCTTTTGAAAGTACTCAAGAGTAATGAGTAGTGAGTACAGGGGCGCAACTGCACATTAACTGATGGGTATGCGGCTTCAACCCCCCACACCCCCCCCCCCCCCCCCCTTCAATCCAACTATATTTTAAAACAGGCAAGTGATAAAATGTGGAAAATATTTCCATCAATAAATTAAAGATATTTTTTCATAAAGATATTAATATGCTTTAAAAAATACAGTTTCGCAGTTCTGAACACAACTGAAATAGTATGAAGTAGTAAAAGGTACATGTATAATTACGTTAAGCATGTTAAGTCGCAAAAAATGCATCTCATACCACCCCAAAATTCATCTCAGTTTAATTTTACCTTACTAAATGATTAAAGCACCTTGACTAGCCTTACTTTTGGACTTTTTGTACTACATTTTTCAAAACAAAATCATAGACATGGGAGTCCTAAAGGGCAAAAGAACATTGTGATTACTTCTCACATGCATACTGTGAGAAGTGGAAAGTCTGTCTTTGCCAGAACAGTTGACTGAAACTGCTAAAAGTGAAATAAAAAAGACTGTCAAATGTTTAGTGTAAAAAAAACAGAAACAAACTGTGTGAAATGTTCTATTTAATTGAAATGTTATAACTTTGTTTGTAGCTAAAATTAAAATAGTTTTGAGCTAAGAAGTTACCAAAAGGCCTGATGAATCAATATGATACATAATAAATTCATAAAAACATGTATATGGTATGAAAAATGGGGGGGAGGGGTGGAATGATTTTTTAATTTAATAAAATACAATATTATACGCGTATAAAATGCTAAATAAATATTTTAACAATATATATATTATTATTATTATTATATTAAATATTTTAACAATTTATATATTATTAATATTATTATTATATTATATATTATTAATATTATTATTATATTATATATTATATATATATATATATATATATATATATATATATATATATATATATATATATATATATATATATATATTATTATTATTATTATTATTATTATTATTATTATTATTAATATATATTATTTGAAACTTTTAATATGGATAATTTAAAAAATAGTTGTGGCACAATGGCGCCCCCCCATGTGTGGCGCCCCTATGCGCCGCATATACTGCATACCCCCTTTTTGCGCCACTGAGTGAGTATTACGCTGTGAAAGGTTGATGTGTTTACATGTAATTTGTTTGTGTGTGTGTAAACGTAACATTCTGTAGTACATTAGTTATAGTTTAAGGCCATTTCGGTCATCAAGTGGAAAACATCCGTCATCTTCTCATCAGTGACATGCAGTCTAAACAGTCTCTTCACAACCGTAGACAGGGGAGGTTCGAGTGGTTCGGAAGACCCAGCCTTCACTGACAAAGGTCCAGAATTTGTCCCATACATGAGCTCATTTGTCCTATTTTAACTGCTTTGCCATCATAAATAGTCAAAATATCCCACCCAAAATTGCTTTAAGATTAAGCGGAATCCAGGTGTAACTTACGTTAATCAGTTTTGGCCAATGCAAACAATTATTTTTCAACATCCAGCTATGCAAGAAGACATCTGACATAAGAGAAGTCATCTTTCACTACTGCATTGTTTTTAAACAGAGAAAACATTTAACAGTACCTTTTATTCTAAATCTTGGACCTTATTCTTGAAAGAAAACATGACCAATAAGAAAAGGTGTAAAGCATCAAAAGCGGCCCATATTAAAATCATTTTGAAGAATATTTTGGCTATTTATTGTTATCCATGAATTTTCAAATGTTCTTTTTATTTTTTACAAGTGAGCCTAGAAAAATTGTGAAGCTCTAAATTGCTATTATATTATATTATATTATATTATATTATATTATATTATATTATATTATATTATATTATTATACATATATAACTTTTATTATTATTCAGATGGCCCCATTCTGACTGAGGAAAGTTGCTGGCCAGTTTTTTTTATTTGCCTAATAAATTACAATAGGCTACAGTTTTCAAAAAAAAAATTCTAATGATATATTATGCAATACATTTGTATTTTAAAAATAAATATTTGTAATATTTCTTTAATCTAAATATTTAGGAAATCCTTTTGGTTATGATGACTATGAGATAAGTTTATCTAGCTAAACATAGTGCTTAAAATGTCACCTAAATCAGCATTTAAAGATCATAACTAAATAGAAAATGAGGCGAATAACTGCAAAAAGATCCACGTTTTTGCGGAAAAAATAACCATCCGACTTACCAGACTGGCTACGGGCCTGCTCTTGGTCATTGTGTGTAAAGTATCTTCTTGGACACTTTTAAAGCTTCCTAACAGTTTGCTGCAATAGTCTTAAGGTAGTTCAGTATGATGTGATTTACTTTCTATGTGCAATTTGATTGGACAGAAATTGCAGGACTGAATTTTGTAATCCCCATGGACAAGAAATAATAAAGTAGTAACTGTAGGTTGAAAGAAAGCAGTGGAGAGAATGTACAGATACTGCACTAAAAATGTACTCAAAGGAGAGGAAAAGTACACATTTTGAAAACTACATAGTAAATTACTATTTCTGAGAATTGGAGTATTTGTAATTTGTTACTTTACACTACTGATGCAAGTGATTTAAATCAATTAATCGAGTTAAAGAAATTGTTCACCCAAAAATGAATATTCTGCTCTCTACTTGTTCGAAACCTGTTTGAGTTGTTCTTTTTTAGATGAAAGATGATACTTTGAAGAATGTTATAAACCTACCAAGGACATTTATAGTATTAAATAAAAGCTATAAGTCAATGGTTACAGTGAAAACCCTGTACTGATTGCTCAAGTACACAAATGTATAATAGATTTTAGATGGAAAACACAACATAGTAAACAGTTCCCTAAAATTCAGAAATACACGGGGAATGGTTTTAAATGTGCTGTCAGTATTTGACTGTTCAAAAGCATTAAAATACCATATTATGTGTAGCCAATTATATTTCAGCACCTCGGGTTGCCTTGGTGGAAAGCAGCTCATTTCATTTCAGGCATGAAGGCTGTCTCTCATGCAGACAAAGCCAAAAATGTGACCTTTGGAGGACAGTAGCAGCCTTTTATGAAAAAGATTTACATGAGGAGTTATTTTAATTAGCAAATAATACAAATATTACAGGCGCAAACCATTAGCGGAGGAGCTTACGTTCATCCATCAGGCAGTCTGTACTTATGTAAATGTGATTTTTCAGTTTTTTTTTTTTTTTTTTTAAATAAATTTACAACAATTTCAAAAACTCTTTTTTTCACATTGTCATTATGGGGTATTGTGTTTAGAATTTTGAGGAAATAAATCAATTTAATCCATTTTGGAATCAGGCTGTATGTCAGCGCTATGAACACTTTGCAGATGCACTGTATTTTAGAAAAGTGTGATTAAATTACATTGATATTATGCATTTATCTAAATTTGACCAATCAGATTTCATCGCTTTACTATCAGCATCTACCAAGTTGCTGCTCTGCTATTGGTTATATGGCTCAAAGATGAATCAATACACTTATAAAGACAACAGCCAATCAGAGTCAGAATATCTGCTGTTTTGACTCATTCATAGTGTTTTAAAAGGGCCCTATCATACACCTGGCACAATAAAGTGCAAGACGTGTTTGGCATGATTTGTTGCTATTTTCAGACCAGGGCAAACTTAATTTTCACGTTTTGTGCTACGTTGTTTAAATCGCAAATCCATGTATGTGCTGGTCTAAAAAGGAAGTGTGTTATAGATTGCGTCATTTTTTTCAGTTTATTTATGACAATTTGCAGTTTTATTATAATGTTGTTGTTATTATTATTCGCAGTATTATTTTTTTATATGCATATTTTTATTTGTTTTAATAAAAACATGTTTAAATTTGTCCATCTGTTGGATTTTGGAGATGTCTGCATCATTATATAAGTCATAAGAATAGGACATGTGTTTAGATATAACTTTTGACCACACTTTATTATTGTTCATTTATTCGTTTGCTGGAAATTAGAACTGAATTTAGAAATCGTTTTGAAACAAATACAACACAACACCAAGTACAACACCATTTCCTTATTCATGAAAGTAAAAGAGTAAAGAGTAAAAATAAAGAGGCTGAGTGGAGGAGGCTCATTCTTTATCCTCGTGCTGCAGATGGTCTGTTTAACTGTTTTCTCGCTACTGAAGCATTTAGTTTTTAGGTTTGCCATGTAAATAGCAAATGCGCCATGGTGAGACGCAACTGACTCTCAAAGGGAATGGGAGATGAGACTCTGATTGGTTTAATGCACATTACGCTCAAAACACACACATATTTCATTAAGAGAATAAGCACAACCCTGTTAGACCATGCACCAGGCTGCAGAGCATATTTTTCCATCCTTAAAATAGCAAAAGTGGATTTAGACCAGGGTTGGGCAAAATCAGACCTGGAGGGCCGGTGACCTGCATAGTTTAGTTGCAACACTAATCCAACACTCCTGAACATGCTAATCAGTTTCTTCAAGATCACAAGAAATCTATAACCAGGACCCAGTTTGCCCACCTCTGATTTAGACACACCCTTAATGCTTTTGTCCCATGCACTTTAGACTTTGCGCCTAGATTGTTCAAATAGAGCCCTAAATGTTTGGACCCTGAGTTTTTTAGTTTCAGAAAGATCGGAAAAATATTTTTTACCTTTTCATTTTAATATCATTAAATGATTCAAAAACTTAGCTGATGAAAATTGCAATGGTTAAGAAATATGGTTATCACAGTACTCCCAATACTGGTGTATTTTTCCAGTACTGTGCAGCTCTACTATACCGCATGTGATTTTAGATACATCACTAAAATATTTACAACTGAACCCTTGCCCTGAAGCCCCTGAAGCTTTCATTATTGTTCTGTCTTTGACTCAGGGAGGACTGTCCAGAGTACTGTGTGTTTGAGAATGGCAGGCTAATGAAGAAGGTTTCTAGTTTGTCCTCCTTTACCTCTGAACTGGAGCACATGGTCACTTTCTACCTCGGCTGTAGTTTTGGCTTTGAATCGGCCTTGACAGCCGCTGGGGTTCCGGTGAGAAATGTGGAGCAGGGCAGAAACGTCAGCATGTACAAGGTCAGTTCAAGCCGCAAGCCTGGATTACATCCACATGCAGTGAGAGCCTACAGCATATTACTTGATGTTGCTTGTGTCTGATATTTTCTTCTTCAAAATCTTAATAAAATAACTAAAAGAAAGTGTTTTTTTTTTTTTTTTTGCAGACCTCAGTGCCTTGTATTAAAGCAGGTCAGATTCATTGTCCAATGGTGGTGACTATGAGACCAGTACCAGAAGACAAGCTGGACGCTACTGCTCAATGCACACATGCCATCCCACTGGCGCATGGAGGACCTGTTCATATTGGAGATCCTAGTATGGACTTTTTTTTTAAAGAAAGTATATGATGGAACTTTATCTTGTTATATAAAGTTATCTTATTTTAATGCAATTTAATTAATTTACCAATTTATGTAATCACATTGTCCTAAACATTCAGATCCATTGCTCAGTATTTAGTCGAAGCACCCTTTTGACCTAATACAGCCATGCATCATTTTGGAAAAGATACAATAAGTGTTTCACATCTGGATTTGGGGATCCTCTGCTATTCCTCCTTGCAGATCCTCTTCAGTTCTGTCAGGTTGGTTGGTAAGCGTTGGTGGACAGCCGTTTTTTTATAGTAGGTCTCTCCAGAGATACTCAATTGGGCTTAAGTTGAAGCTCTGGCTAGGCTATTCAAGAACAGTCATGGAGTTGTTGTAAAGTCACTCCTTCGTTATTTTAAACCTTCAACCCAGACTGAAGCCCTGAGCACTCTGGAGAAGGTTTTCATCCAGGATATCCTTGTACTTGACAAGCATTCATCTTTCCCTCTATTGCAATCAGTCTTACTGTCCCTGCAGCTCAAAACACCCCCACAGGCCACCACCATGCTTCACTGTTGGGACTGTATTGGGCAGGTGATGAACATACAGCTTAGAATTAAGGCCAAAAAAGTTCTATCTTGGTCTCATCAGAACAAAGAATCTTATTTCTCACTATCTTGGAGTCCTTCAGGCGGGTTTTCATGAGTCCTGCACTGAGGAGAGGATTCTGTCGGGCCACTCTACCATAAAACCTAGACTGGTGGAGTGTTGTAGGGATGGTTGACTTTCTACAACTTTCTTGCATCTCCCGACTGCATCTCTAGAGCACAGCTACAGTGATCTTTGGGTTCTTCTTTACCTCTCTCACCAAGGCTCTTCTCCCTTGGTAGCTCAGTTTGGCCAGATAGCTCTAGGAAGGGTTTTGGGCATCCCAAATGTGTTTCCTTTTAATGATTAAGGAGGCCACTGTGCTCTTAGGAGCAGCAGAATATTTGTTTGTAACCTTGGCCAAATCTGTGCTTTGGGACAATTCTTTCTCTGAGATCTCCAGACAGTTCCTTTGACCTCATGATTCTCATTTGCTCTGACATGCATTGTGAGCTGTAAGATCTTATATAGACAGGTGTGTGGCTTTCCTAATCAAGTCCAATCAGTGCAATCGAATGTAGATCAGATGTAGAAACATCTCAAGGGTGATCAGAAGAAATGGACAGCACCTCTGTTAAATATGAGTGTGACAGCAAAGGGTCAGAATACTTAGAGTCATGTGATATTTCATTTTTTTAATAAATCTGCAAAAGATGTCAACAATTCTGTGTTTTTCTCTCAATATGGGGTGTTGTGTGAACATTAAGTAAAACAAATTAACTTACATTGCAGTTATAGCTAAAATCATTTAAGTAAGAGTGAAACATTTAAGGGGGTCTGAATACTTTTCGTACCAACTGTAAATATGTAACAGTCAATGTAGATTACACCATTTAACCATACCTAAAATTAACAACAAATAAACTTTTTAGATGCAAACCAATTTTCAGGTGCAAAACAGTTTTCAGGTGCATAAAAAATAGATATTTTAATGTAGTTAAAATTTTATGTGGTTAAAAATAATGTAGTATAAGAGTAAATTGGTTAATCTCAGATTTGTTTTATCTAACAAATGAGGTTCATACATTTTAAAGTGGTCTTTAGGTGTTCAAATACTTTATGGCCCTATGTAAATACAAGATAGTTTTATGTAGGGTGTTAATTTGTTTCTAGGAATCCATCTGTAAATCTTATCACCATGTCTGCACAAAACATACTTCAACTGTTAACATTTTCTGTACTTGGGAGTTGAAAAAAGTGTGTAACATCTCAGAAACCTTTGATTCCCCCTTTCAGAGCTGCTGGGCATCCGTGACTTGTCACGTCCGGACTACGGGGACCCAGTGGACGCCCGCCCTGCTGATGTGCCTGTGTTCTGGGCCTGTGGGGTCACTGGTGTTGAGGCTGTAAAGAGCTGCAGTAAGCTTTCCAAAAACCCTCCAATATTATAAAAGAGATGAGCAATTCACATTGTTTGGGAATATGCAAATTTTTCCAAGTTAAACAGTTGAGTTTTACCATTTTTGAGTCCATTCAGCTGGTCTGGCGGGAGCACTTTGAGCTTAGTTTAGCATAAATCTTATCTTAGCATAAATTATCTAAGCCATATCGGCCTAGAAAATAGAAACATTTCACTTTACTTTGGTCTTTGTACACAATTTACTGTAACTACAGAAGAATCAAGCTCTACATAAACATTTTTGTTTTAGCAAGATGCTCAATCAATCTGATCTAATTTAATGATTAATGCTAAGCTATGCTAAAAGTGCTCATGCCAGACCCTGAGACTGGCTGAATGGATTCAGAAATGGTAAAACTCAATTGTTTAACTTAGAAAAAGGCGCATACAAAACAGATGCTTTATACATATAAATAATTGAGTATAAATGTTTATTACTAACCTTTCTATAAACATACTGCATTTCGTTGCATTGTACTTGTACATGTGTAATGACAATAAAGTTGAATCTAATCTAATGATATGATCTGTACAGCAATGACGGTGCTAAATAGCCTACTGTAACGTCTACAAGTATATAAAATAAATAAATAAATGCAACATATATAAACACATACAGATCCTTACAGTCTCCGATATGTTACTAATGGCAGAAAAATACTACACCCGGCATACATTTAGTCCTTATTTGGGTTCAAAAACAACACGCAACATAGCCCACAGTCAGCGCAAACCTCTCATCTGTGCCTTTAATCTCCACCAGCACATGTAACCTCCTGTTAGAAAGTAATTCCTTCATTCCGAGTTCCTAATAGCCAAAAAGGGGATGATAAACATGGCAGTTTGTTTGTGATTCAGGTTGCTGAAACAATTTGCTCCTGTGTTTTGTCGAGCTTCTCCTTTGTTTGTTCGCACTTCACTCTCGCATTTGTCCTTTTAGTTTCTGAACGGATCGGATGTCGGAGACACTTCAATAATCACACACATTATTATCATCAACTTAAAAAGAGAAAGCGAAAACCACTCACACTTTTAGACGGCCTCGTAAAACAACAACAGGACCTGGCAGATTTTGTTCTTCTTGGCTTTGTGTCTGTACATCAAGACAATGACAAGGTTTGTTTGAGCTCTGGTCATCCATGGCTCGGTATTATATATATATATATTCATCAGATGTCACCACAGCGGAATGAACTGACAAGTTATCTAGTATATGTTTTACTCTACGGATGCCCTTCCAGCTGTGTACTGGGAAACATCCGTACTGCGTATTCACACACACATACACTATTACCAAATTAATTTATTCACCTGTACTGCATGTCTTTGGACTGTGAGGGAAAACGAAGCACCCGGAGGAAACCCACGCGAACACGAGGAGAACATGCAAACTACATACAGGAATGCCAACTGACCCAACTGAGACTCAAACCAAAGACCTTCCTGCTGTGAGGTGGCAGTGCTACCCACAGAGCCACCGTGTCGCCCTCTCATTTACTGTAAAATGTAAAAATGTCACCTTGTACAGTTTTGTTTTGCACATTTGCTGCTGTTAGTGAAGCAGAAATGATACACCCCACCTTTAGAATTTAATGTCACTGGGTTTCCGGTACAATTAAGCTTCTGTTTCTTTAATGTCACTTTTTTTGCAGCATGAACAGATTTATATATTTTTACTCAGTGTGTAGGAGAGCAGCTGTTGACCTTTATTTTTATTTTTTTAAATGTTGCAGAGTCCGCTCTAGCGTTCACACACTCTCCTGGCTGCATGTTCATCACCGATCAAAAAGCAGAAGCCATTTCTCCCCTCTCTCTGGAGCCAGCACAGCGCCCTTTGACATTCCGCATTTCCCAGGATCCTCAGCATTACAGCATGGCCAGTGAAAGAGCCGTTCAACAAATCCGAGCAATTGAGGAGCTCGCTGTTGAAGACCCAGGTATGAAGCAACTTAGTTTGTTCCCAGGAAAAGTACAGTATAAGAATGATTAAAATCTAAATTTGTAAGATTTAAAAAACTAATACAATAGTGTTATATATTGTGCTGACTTTAGCCTAACTAGTCACTTTAGTAACGTGGATCATGTCTAAATGCTCATGCTAATGGCATAACACACCCTAGATTTCTGATTTGGTTTTATAGAAAACAATGAAGCACCAAAGATTCTTTCAGATCCCCCCGTGTCTGCAATCTGGGTGTCATTCTTGATGAGTCATTGGAACTAGACAAACAGATCAGTTCTGTTATTGGCTTCAGTTTTTATCAACTACGTTTCCTGTCTGAAGTTAAACACTTTTTAAATCCCACCACTCTAGGCTGGGGCTGTTCACGATTTTATTACATCACGGTTAGACTACTGCAATGCACTTTACTGTGGCATGTCAAAATCCCCAGTTTCTCGCCTTCAGTTGGTCCAAAATGCTGCTGCTAGATTTATTTGTAATAGCAGAAAACAGGACACATCACCCCTCTTCTAAGAGGCCTTCATTGGCTGCCTGTCCAATTCAGAATTGATTTTAAAGTGCATTTACTGGTCTATAAATCCCTTTAAAATCTAGCCCCATCCTATCTCTCATAGCTGTTTCATTTTTACACTCCCGTAAGATTTCTTAGGTCAAGTGATCGGGACGGGACAGACGGGACAGAGGGGACAGAGCTTTCTCTGTGGCAGGTCGTCGGTTTTGGGACACCTTGCCCCTTTGTAATTAGAATGGCTCTTTGATTACTTTTTTTTTTTAAATCACTTCTTAAAACGTACCTTTTTAGCTTGGCTTTTTAAAATGATTTTAATAGTCTTTTCTACTGCTACATTTTTACAGACGTTTTTCTTGCCTTATCTCTATGTTTTTATGTTCTGTCTTTTTATTTATTTATTTTTATTTATTTATTTATTTATTTATTTTTAGGGGTTTTCACCTTTATTGATAGGACAGTGGAGATATAGAGACAGGAAAGTGTGGGGAGCAGAGATAGGGGAAGGATCAGCAAAGGACCTCGAGGCGGGAATCGAACTCGGGTCGCTGCGAGCACCTCAGTGCTGTGTCGACGCACTAACCACTAGGCTATTGCTTTTAATAAATGCACAGAGCAACATTATAACAGAATCTTAAAATGTATTTGGTATGATAAAAACCACTGCTTTTTAGCTACATGATCCACAGCCTGAACAAGATCCAAAGCAGCCGACTGTGGCATAATTGTGGCACATCATGCTCGTCTCTCATTAGAAATCGCTTGCTTCAGCGTTTTTTTTTTTTTTTTTCACACTTCGATGGCTTCTAGCCTTGCTCTGCTTCATACTACCTTGATAATAATCTTTGAATACTTTAGCTCATCCATTACCCTCTCTTAATATTTCAGATGAGATTACGTCAAACATCGAAAAAAAAAAAATCTAATTTAAAAGCACTTCACGGGACCTTAAACAGCTTTAATGTGAAAAAGAACTACAATCCCATAAGCATTGCTAATGGCACAATCGACTTGATTTGTGTGCAGGTTCAAGAGGTATCCGGGCCCTGTTCTTGCAGGATGAGCTTCTGAAGGCCTGTCTCTCTCTGTCCCATTCCTCCTCCGTCCTCATCACCACCGGCTTCCCCACACACTACATGCACAACCCTCCGGAAGAGACGGATGGGCCGCCCGGGGCCCTCGCTATGGCAGCTATGCTTCAAGCACTTCATAAAGAGGTGGTCATCGTGACGGATCAGCGGGCTTTGGAGATGAATCAGCACATCATGCAGGATGCTGTGGAGAAAGGTGCCACATTTGGCCTCCATCATTGCTGATTTAGTGTTTTTGCTTGCTAGATGGGATTAAGTGTCGTGCCAATTTTGTTTATTACCCGCCGTGACCACAGCAAATGATGTGTGACAGGGCATTTTGCTGGTTGTTTAGTTTTTATTTTGTTGCTGTGCAATGAGTAGCTTCAGCCAAAGTGAAATCTCACTGTTCCAAAAACAGTGCTCATCATGCAATGTGCTGTAATTGAACACAGAATTATTAACCCTTTTTTACATTTTTTAGATTTTTAAAAATATTTCCTAAATGATGTTTAACAGAGCAAGGACATTTTTGCAGTATGTCTGATAATATTTAATTCTTCTGGAGAAAGTCTTATTTGTTTTATTTCGACTAGAATAAAAGAAGTTCTTAATTAATATTAGTTTTTTACATTTTAAAGTGAACATGATTAGCCCCTTTAAGCACTATTTTTTGTTACATACCAGTCAAAAGTTTGGGGTCAGTAGGATTTTAAATGTTTTTAAATGTTTTTAAATAAAAAATACAGTACAAATTGTAAAACTGTGAATGTTATTACACTATAAAAGAACTGTTCAAAAGTAGTTTATAATTTCATTTAATCATTTATTTTAGTGATTTTAAAGATGAATTTTCAGCTTCAGCTTTCAGTCTTCAGAGTCACATGATCCTTCAGAAAGCACTGTATTATTAATTATTATTATTATTATTATTATTGAAAATTATTAATGGTAATAGTAATAAAAGCAGTAATGACTGGAGTAATTTTATTTGAAAGTACATACAAATAAAAAAGCAGTTATTTAAAAATTGTATAAATATTTAATAATTTAATTTTTTTTTCATATTTAAAAAATGCTGCCTTGATGAACAAAATCATTTTCTTTATTTAAAAAAATGGGAAAAAATGACCACAAACTTTTGACTGTGTGTGTGTGTGTGTGTGTGTGTGTGTGTGTGTGTGTGTGTGTGTGTGTGTGTGTGTGTGTGTGTGTGTGTGTGTGTGTGTGTGTGTGTGTGTGTGTGTGCGCGCATGCGTGCGTGCGTGCGTGCGTGCGTGCGTGCGTGCGTGCGTTCGCGTATATAAAATAATGTGTGTATGTATGTATGTGTGTGTGTGTCTATATATATATATATATATATATATATATATATATATATATATATATATATATATATATATATATATATATATATATATATATATATATATATATATATATATGTGTGTGTGTGTGTGTGTGTATACTGTATATATATATATATATATATATATATATATATATATATATATATATATATATATACAGTGCTCAGCATATATAAGTGCACCCCTCACAAATCTATTTTTTAATTCATATTTTTAATAGGAAGCTATACAATATTATATTTGTGCATATACATTTGATTAGTCAGTACTGAAGCCAAATCTGAAGCTTATTTAACAAAATATCTTATGATAACGATCTAAAAACTAGGACAGCCAAATTTATATGTTATAGAAAAATATTAAATACAAATTTTAAAAAGAGCAGCAAAACATTTTTTTAATTTGTTGAAGTTTTGTAGGTTGTAATTTTTTTTATGCAATATTTTGCTTGAATTGAATTGTTTTATCTTTCAATTTCTTAATATGCTTAGTGACAAAAATATTATTTTATTAAATATATAATTTTTATTTTTTATTTTGACTGACTAATAACTAGATGTTGTGAAAATGTTTAAGTCTCCGCTAGGCTCTGTATTAAGTAAAAAGTAATAATTTCTCACAGTTATTGTAAATCACCTTTACCTTTTTTTAATCACCTTACCTAAACGTTTGTGCTATATATTCTTTAAGTAATGTGTGTGCGTGCGTGCATGTGTACTTTTGAATAACACTTTATTAATACAAAAATTATTTGTAATTGAAAAAAATCTGAAAAACTGCCAATGCAAAACATTTCTGTCTTTCTTTTTTCACTATAATTAGATCAGCTATTGTGATGATATGTGATTTGTTAGCAAACATTTTAAATGTTATCAGAATTCCATAAATCACTTCCAAACTCTTTAAAGAGAAAATATGCTGCCATGGTACAGTGTCATGTTGAGCTGAACTGGTAAGGCAGATAAAATGGTTCAAAGTACACATATAAACACTACTATTTAAGAATTTGAGTAAAATAAATTAAATGTAATAGTTTTATTTAGGAGGTCACGGTGGTGCAGTGGGTAGCACGATCACCTCGCAGCAAGAAGTTTGCTGCTTGAAGCCTCAGCTGGGTCAGTTGGCATTTCTGTGTGGAGCATTTTCTCCCCGTGTTGGCGTGGGTTACCTCTGGGTGCTCCGGTTTTTGCTACAGTCCAAAGACATGCACCCTAGGTGAATTGGGTACACTAAATTGGTCGTAATGTATGTGTGTGAATGCAAGAGTTTATGGGTGTTTCCCAGTGTTGGGTTGCAGCTGGAAGGACATCCGATGCGTAAAACATATGCTGGATAAGTTGCCGATTCATTCCACTGTGGTGACTCCTGATTAATAAAGGGACTAAGCTGAAAAGAAAATGAATGAGTGTTATTTAACAAGGATACATTCAACTCAGCAAAAATGACCTTAAATACATTTACAACATTGAAGAAGAGTTTTATTTCAAATAACTGTAGTTCGTTTAATTGAAAGCCCAGAACAATATTATGCAGCAATGTGATAATAATAAAAAATGTTTCTTGAGCAGCAGATCATGCAATTTAAAGCATTTCTGAAGAATTATCTGACACTAAAGACTAGGACCAATGATCCTAAACATTTTAATTCTAACAATGATTGACAGTATTTCTGTAAAAATATCTTTATATTGAATGTAATTTTAGTTACTTTGCAGTTTGCATTGCAAAATAAATAAAATAAATAAATAAACATTTAACTTGAAGCTTATAAAGCCTGGTTAGTTGCAGTAATGTACCATAATTTCTAAATGTGTGCGTGTGTGTGTGTGTGTGTGTGTGTGTTTTTGTGTTTGCTCACTAACAGGTGTGATAAAGAGTGCAGTGCCGGTAATAAGTTTCCAGAGTAATGGGCCTGACTCAGCTCTTCACTTCCTGTGCGGTGATGGAGATCCCACTAAACCCAGGTGGAATGCTACTTCAATCTCACATTCTACCTACTTCTTTTTGTTCTGTTCCTCATTAATAAGATCAAGTGTGTTGAACCCCTGTATGTTCATCACTATATATTTTTAAAAATATAATAATATGTTAAACAAAGGAAACTATCAATATTTCAAACGTTAGTGCAGTAGATTTATTATCACATATATGTTTAATAATTCATTCCTAAAGACATTGTCACATAACAGATTTTTATATACATTTGGTGTGTTTTTTTTTTTTTTTTTTGTCTTGTACAACTGTTCCATTCTGCCTCAACTCAGATTAATATTTCATGGTCATCCATTTATGTAATTATTTGGTGATTTGCCATATAATAAGAGGATAAAGTACAGTGAGTCAATCATTATCATATAATAACCCGCTTTAGGGTGGTTCTAGGTCCCATGTTGGGGTTTATTTTGGGCTAATGACTGCATTATCCCTTAATTACTGCATTATTAAAGGAATATTACAGAATCAATACCTCTTGCATGCAGTCAACAGCATTTGCGGCATATGGTTGAGCACCGTAAAAAAATGGTTTGTCCTACCTTCAAAACAACGGTTGAGGTCATGTTGAGGCTCTTTTAATGGAAATTTATAGATCTGTTTTTTGGAGGGATAAAATGAAGAGTTCAAATGCAAAAACCTCTGAGTGCCGTCTGAAGTTTCCATCGAAAATGAACGTTTTTCTCAGCCTGCTATTTTTTATGTTGAGATATTTCACTTTAAAGACCAGGAAAAGTATTTATTCTTTGCCATAAAAGTGATCCTACTGAACAGACACACATGAGCTTGATAAATACTAATTGTAGAGGAAAATTTCAGACGGCATTTAGACGTTTTTGCATCTAAGCTCTACAAATGCAGAAATGTGAATGCTAATGATTTCGTGAATTAAAATTATGTTGAAAAACTTTGGCTTAAGACATAATAATAGGGAAATAAATTGCTAATAATAATAATAATTATATATAACAATAGAAAAGTCTTTCTTGTACAGTAAACACAAAATGTCTTTAAAAGGTGTCTGGAGACCTTTTGTGCATTGTGTAAAGTACTTATCAAGACTTGGAAAACACCCTTTACCTTTCATTTTCTTTAAGAAGTTTAATAACAATTTAGTATTATTTTATATATTATTGTTTTGTCGCCCCGTATTTCATGCATTCAATAATTTTCTTTTCAGCTCAGTCCTGGGGTTGCCACAGCGGAATGAACCGCCAACTTATCCAGCATATGTTTAACACAGCGGATGCCTTTACAGCTGCAACCCATCACTGGGAAGCATCATTCACACACATTCACTTCAGACAATTTTGCTTACCCAATTCACCTGTACCGCATGTCTTTGGACTGTGGGGGAAACTGTGCAGAGCTGCGGCCCTCTAGGAACTGAGTTTGGCACCAGTGCTGTAGGTGAACTTAAAAAGTTTTGCCACTTAATGTTATACTTAAGTGGTGTCATGGTGGTGCTTTGGGTAGCACGATCGCCTCACAGCAAGAAGGTCGCTGGTTCGAGCCCTGGCAGGGTCAGTTTGCATTTCTGTGTGGAGTTTGCATGTTCTACTCATGTTCATGTGGGTTTCCTCCGGGTGCTCTGGTTTCCCCCACAAGTCCGACGACATGCGGTAAAAGTGAATTGAATAAGCTAAATTGGCTTTGTATGTGTGTGAATGCAAGAGTATATGGGTGTCTCCCAGTGTAGGGTTGCGGCTGGGAAGGCAATCACTGAGTAAAAACCAAATGGTGGATAAGTTGGCAGTTCATTCCACTGTGGCAAGCCCTGATTAAAGGGACTAAGCTAAAAAGAAAATGAATGAATGAATGAATGAATGTTCTACTGAAGTATCCTTATACACACTGTAAAGGTTCGACCACCTGGTGGCGATAGAGCGCAGCGGCCGGGCAGCAGATGGCAACTACTACAACATGAGAGGAGTGAACATCAAACACTTGCTGGACCCCATAGATGAGCTCTTCACCGCCGCCAGCACTATCGCTGGAATCACCACCACAGGTATCAAATCACCACACACACACACACACACACACACACACACACACACACACACACACACACACACACACACACACACACCATTAACATATACTGCAGATTTTAATCTGATTGGGATTTGAGTATCTCTCTTAAAGTGATGGTTCACACAAAATGAAAACTCTGTGATCATTTACTCACCCTCAAGTGGGTTTAAACTTTTGTGAGTTTCTTTTTTCTGTTAAACACAAATTATGATATTTTATAGAATATTGGCTACTAATTTTCAAACAGGTTTGGAACAGGGACATAGTCTAATTATTTACTTGATTCTGAATTCAGCAATTTTATGATTAGGGTGCCTAGAAGAGTTTTATGTTTTAGAATTATTCATTGTTTCGGTGGTCGATGGGATTACATTGTGTGATGCAAAATGGACGTCAAAGTTTTGACATCAAATCGAAATCTCTAGTGTTTTAATGATAAAAAGGACAACTCCACGTATTAATATAATTTGTCTTTACTTCCAGTATGACTGACATCAGACAGATTAAAGGGGTTGTCATATTTTTTCAATCATATTTTAAATTTTAGTTGATGTGTAATGTAGCTGTGTGAGCATAAACAACATCTCTGAATGTAAGATGCTCGAAGGTCAATAAAAAAGAGAGACATTGGCTTACCCAGAGTTAGCTTAGCAAAGACTACAGCGAACAAAGTTTGGGAAAATACATCTTGGTTAATGAGATCATAAATGCTTCAGGTTATACGCAATCGCCACACCACAGAGCAACGGGATGTCACCAGAGGCGCTGTAATGTTATAGCAGAGAAAGCTAAAACGCCATCCAAACTCTGCAATTTCCACAGAGCTTGTTCTGTTTCTGTACAGAGAGAAAAGGGCTTTCAGTTTAATTTTAATTATGTTCCAGAGAATTATAATAAATATACAGCTAGCCTTTAACAAAGGACAGCTTCCAGAATCTCTCACAGTTCAGTGCTAGATTCAACAAAAACTCCTCCAGCTGACAAAGCTGTGGATTGTGAGCCACAACCTGTGAGTGTTTTTATTTGTTAAAATTGATCTATTACATGCACAGTCTCTAGTATTAATGGTATGTTGTAGCGACGACATAAACAAGGATGTAAACAATGGGTAGTGCTGTTTGGCGCCACTAACAATTTAGCTACAAATTCATATTTATCAGTCAAACCACAATCTTCAGCAGCTCGTGCAGTGTCTCTCTATGCGGACGCTTTCCATGCGTTCTATATCTCAAATAGCAAATTCGCAAAAGATATGTGAACGTTTCATATTACTTGCATTATTCTGAATATATTTGAAAGACTCTTGTCAGATTTTATTTTACAGAGCATAAGGTGTGCTCAGGCGTGTGCTCATCATTTTCTGTCTGATTCAGGCAGCTAACACTGCTAACAGCTGCTCTGACTGGACTGTTTTCACAGTGCATCATGGGAAATGGTTTAGAGTTAGTTTATGTGTTATATTAGTGAAAATAAATGGGTGGTTTTGTTATAAACATTGTGTGTTCATGTTTGAGTTTGCTTTTGTGATTTAGGCTCAAAATTTAATTTATTTATAAAGTTTTGGCCATCAACGAGGGTAGTGTGTAAAGGAAGCAACCCGGTGGTATGATGCTGCTATTACAATATGCTTTGTACTTTTGTGGATTTAAAAAATATATCGTTTAAGGCTAATTATTTATTTTTGATTGAGTCAAGTGAATAAATTTAGATGTGAACCCATTACCCTCATTTTTTTATTGGATGAATAAACACTTTATGGATATTTTTGCTTTGATTAGAGCTATATCTACTTGTTTAGAACAACAAGATCATTTAAATTAATTGACTTTCTTCAACAAGACAAATATGCTTTGTATCAGGTTAGATAAAATTGTTCTTATAGAGATCAAAAAATAATGTTTAAGGCAAATTATTATTTTTTTCATTGGGTCAGGTGATCAAATACTGAATGATGAGCACAATTTTATTTTTGTGTGAACTATCCCTTTAACAATCGCAACGCTTGAATCATCAACTTTGTTCCAAATTAAGGATAAGTTCAGGCTCAAGGGAAGACCTTAATGAGATATGTCACCTCTTTGGAGCAGGATTAATTGTGTGTGTCTGTGTTTGTGTGCGTGTGCAGGGATTGGAGATGGAGGTAATGAGCTTGGTATGGGTAAAGTCAAAGCAGCAGTTAAAGCCCACATGCCTAACGGGAAGCTGATTGCATGCGATGTGGCTGCGGATTTCGCCATCACAGCAGGTGAACACACCTCACACTGAGAAAACACATAATACATGTCTGTTTCCAGGAGCTCAACACGCAATGCTTATAAGTTTGGCATTCAAACTTTGGAAATTATATTTCTGATATTAAAGGAAGTGCAACAGCGGTCACTGCATCCATCAACATTGCATCTGTGTTGCTAAATGCAGGACTCTCAAGTCTCACACATATTCACTTTCACACCTACATTTTAGGCTATTCAGACACACCACACCTTGTATTTCTCATAGACTGTAAAAGATATGGATGCAGTATCCATGACATCACCCATAGGTTTCTTAAAAACGCAAAAGAAGCTACAAGTAGGCGCCAACCGACGCCATTTTGTTCGCGCATCATCACCTTGAGATACCAAACAAGGGCAAAGCGTGAGCGGAGCTACAGACGCATGCTAGCATTTTTCTTAGACAGGCTTTTCTTTGGTAGAAATGCCAAACACTTCATTACCTGCGACTTGTTTGTGTTCTGACCACATGTGCTTGGTTGTGTACTATATCAATAAAGTGTTTAGATTTTTAAAAACACTGTTGTAATACATTGAGCCACTAAGCACTGTTCTTATGACGTTTTTCTACAGGAGAAAAACACAAATTCCAAACACTTCAAATATAGTCTGTGTTAGTAAATGCAAGGCTATTGATCAAATCCAGGCATAACACTGTATGACAGTGTTTCAGATGACTGTTCTAGAGCAGGGGTTCCCAAACTTTTCAGCCCGCGACCCCTAATATAACAATGCTAGTGGCTCGCGACCCCCAATATCCTCTGAGGTGGTTAGAAATACAGAAACTTTGCATGCAATGGCACACACACACCAATACACCAAAGTTTATTCTTCATAGATTTTTTTTATGTATGTTAGGGCTGTAAATGTCCCAGAAAACTTAACCTGGTGTTATAATATCAAACTGCTGCATCTGAAGCTATTGTCTTTAATATAATGTAATTACCCCAGTGATCCCAATTGAATAGAACTAGTAACTATTAGCTACTATATTAACTATATAAAGTAGTATATAGTAACTATAAATTACTATTTTTTTCTAGGTTATGGATAAAATATGGTAATTCTTATGGTTTAATAAAAATAAAAAGATTTTTGGAAATCACCAGGCGGCCCCCTTTCATTGTCCCACAACCCCTCGGGGGGTCCCGACCCCCACTTTGGGAACCACTGTTCTAGAGCCTACAGCTAATCAATCTGTCAGATTCTGGAGTGCATTACAGGTCTAAAAAGAATTATAAATGTTCTTAAACAAAACAAATACATTTATAGAGATGCTAAATAAGTATAAAATTTCACTCACCTGGGAAATAGAGGCCACGTGAATGGTTTATGGCCAATAAAGTGCACACAGCATGCCATATCATATGATAATTGTAAGAAATAATTCCAAACAGCAACTGACTGTGTAAAGCCAAATAAAATAAGTTCTGCTGCAAATCAGCTAGACCTAGCTTTCACACAAGTGGCCATGCTCTTAATTATGCAGACTTAATAAAACTTAATATAAACAAAACGGATGAGTTATAAAAAAATAAAATAAAAAAAAACTCACAGTTGTCATGAAGGGTAATATTAGCTATATAAACAAAAATTGTTCTTTGTACCAGGCTGTAAACACCCTTTGTTCTGCTGTAAAGTTGGCCATTTTAACAGGAAAATTTGCTCAAGAGAAATTTGCTCTATTATGGAGCCAGGACTAGCGGAATTACGATGAATTGCAGTTTCAGTTACTTCAATATTTGCTTCTCGAGGGTGACTGCTTGGTATTTTTCATACTGAGTGATAAGGGATAACTCGTCCTTCAGTTTTCCAAATGGATGAGGTGCAAGGTTCCCTTGAGTTATACAGTGTTAAATGGCACCAACCAGCCAATCTGAATTTACAATTTGTTGTTTCCAGGTAAATAATGTGATTGCTGCATGCACATTTGTTACTAGGCAACTTGAGAGTAGAGTTTGATCCAATAAACACGCTAAGTAAACCCTTTATTTTCCCTTCAGGGTCATGTTTATTTTGTTGATACTTTTTTATTTAATTAATTTATTTTTTCAATGCATTATTATTTTTTAATAGATGTATAAACATGTAAATAACAGAAATGGGGATGAATTTGTTTGTCTTTTATTAAATTTATTAGCAGTTGTCATTTTTTTGTGCTGGTCAGTCATAAACAACTTGATCTTGAGGTTGAAATAATTGAATGTGGCAGACAACTGTTTGTCACACACATCCTCGACAGATTGCTGTTGTTTTTGTACACATATAATATAATATGATATAATATAATATAATATAGATATATTCAACTTCTATAAAGAATTTTTAAACTTAGTGATGATTTGCATATGCACTTAATTGTTTTTAAAATAAGAATAAGTAATATACATGCTACACATTTCAGCATCACATCAGTGAAATACATTAGCCTGTATTTGTGCTAGCGATAAACAGTCTTTTTCCGTCTTTTCCCTGCACTGTAGGAGTTTCTAACTGGGGTGGCTATGCTGTAGCCTGCGCTCTGTATGTCCTGAATCTGTGTCCAGTACACCAGCGGTACCTCCAGAGGGGTTTGGGTCTGTCGCCCACACCTGAACAACAGAGCAAGTGGGCTGAATGCCTGCCCACCGTAGCCAAGGTAACTGTTTTCCTACACACTGTGATGCCTTAAGTGATTTATGAGCATAATGTCTATTAGACTGTTAATAGCCAGTGAACCGTTTAAAAAAAATAAACAGGGTAAGATGTGGCAGCATTATTCTCCTCACAGTTTATTCGTTGTATATTAGAGGTGCCATTAAAGTGCATTGATTCAACATGTTCAATTGCTCTCTTATATCTACATAGTAGGTATGTGGCTTAGGTAAGTCCAAAAATGATCCACAAACTGTTTTTATATGTGTAGTTATAACCACAGGAATTGCCCCTATAATCAAAAGCTTGGATTTGACCATATTTGGAATGATCATGAATATTCATGAGCTGCGTCCCAAATCGCATACTTATGCACTATTCTACGCCATTTTGTAGTATAAATAGTTAAAGTAGTGTGTTCACACTGAAAACTCTAAAAATAATAAGTGCACTTTAATTACCCGGATGATGCACTCATTCAGCCGCTAAAATGAAGTGTGTAACGATGGACACTTCACTCACTAAAAGACCGCAGGTTTGCCTACGTAGCGAAAGGGGCGGAGCTATTGGGACGCACATGTTGAATAACTTTATTTTGGATGGTGAAAGCAAAATTCTCCTACGAGAGTGATTATAGCGCCTCCCGATGGTGAATGCAATAATACTCACGGCAGGTATTATTTGATAATTTGGTTGTTTATTTCACTGATTTGGCAACCGTCAAACGTCATCAGGGAAACTGTTTGAATTTACGCTTAGTAAAAAAACATAAGTGTGCCATTTGGGACGACACTACATACATATACTATCCTGTTGAGTGTGTAAGTGCATAAGTACATAGTGCATAAGTGCATAGTGTATAGTGTGCCATTTGGGACGCAGCTATGATCTCTGCTCTGATGCACTGCAGCTATTGTCTGACACTTGCACATGCATGATGTACTCTGAAATGCATGTTCAAAATAATCAGACTGCATTTGCTGAAAAATATTTTCAACTGAAGTAGTGGAGAGGTTTATTTTAGCTTTAGAGTGAGGCAGCTAGATCTCTGCAACTCTCACATGGTCGCCCACTGAAGCTAAGCAGGGCTGCGCCCAGTCAGTACCCATTGTTGCCAACTATTTTCAACAAAAAAGCGCTAAGCTCTGCCTGAAAAGTCGCTAAAAGTCGCTAGATTACGTCATATGTTAATTTGCATTCATCATATGTTAATTTGCGTAATGACGTAATCACGCTCTACCATTTCTGTTTGTTTAACAGCCTCAATAAAAGAGGTATTTATATTTGCTCAACGCTTTTATATAAGCATGTCGATTTACCTAAATTTATTGCTGTTTGAAAACAGTATATCAGTATAGATGTGTAGTGAATTTACAGTAATCTCTCAGATAATAAACTCAGACAAGTTCTGAAAATGTCTCTAAAATATCTGTGATTGTGAACAAGAAAATAATAAACGGTCAAATTAAATTGTTAAACTAAAGGAGAAGCATATTGGTTTGACTTTACAAGGGGAATACCTTCACACTGCCGGTGCTAAATCATTTGCCGTCGGTACCGTACACAGAGAGGTGATCTGCTGTCAGGCTGCAGGTGGGAGAGGCTGCTGTACGAGGAGGACTGGGCCGCCTGTTAAGCCTGATTTATACTTCTGCGTCAGGTGACCGGCGTAACCCACGGCGCAGGCAACGCGCGTGGCTGTGCATTTATACTTCTGCGCGCTGTCTCTGTCGGTCTGCATTAACACTTCCGAAACGCTAGTGGGCAGTGAGGTGTTAATGTTCCTCTGTGTCGAGTTTCTTCTCTGCTTTTTTGCTTTTCCTGAACACTTCCGGGATGTACAAGTGGCTCAAACTCGCTCATTTTGAGGCAGGAACCGGCGGACGTGCGACAACTTTAACTATGAGGTAAACACAAAACAAAACTTTCCATCCGGAGCTCCTTCATGGGACTCCACACTTGTAAACAATCGCTCGCGCCATTCGCGCGGCTCTCGGTCCCGCCCAGACTCGTCAGCGCTACCAAGCCGACCAATCACAGAGCTTACGCTACGCGTCGTTGCGACGTGTAGTTACATTTTTTGAGAGGTGCACGTCAGTGACGGCGATGGCCACGGCGAAGGGCTATGCGTCAGCGCCGTAGCATACGCCGACGTTTGACGCAGAAGTATAAATCAGCCTTTAGGGCTCTGAGGCGGGGGAGGGGCCGACGGCATCACCCTCAGCTCGTTGAGAGGAGTGGGGACAGTGGAGTATGGACAAATGACAGTCTATAAAAAATCTCCAGTAACACACAAAAAAGTCGCTAGATTTGTCGCTTTTCTGAAAATTTGACGCTAGGGGGGTCTAAAAAGTCGCTATATCTAGTGACAAAGTCGCTAAGTTGGCAACACTGTCAGTACCTAGATGGGAGACCACATGGGAAAAATAGGTTGCTGCCGTAAGTGGTGTTAGTGAGACCAGCAGGGGGCCTGTGTGCGTCCTAACACCCCAGTATATTGATGGGGACTCTATACTACTAGTGAATTAAAAATTCCCAGAGTAGGCATCCTAGCCAAATTTGCCCACTGGCCTCTGTCCACCATGGCCTACTAACCATGCCCATAATTATCTTTATCACTTTGTGTCCTCTCCACCAATCAGCTGGTGTGCAGTCTGGCACAATATGGCTGCTGTCATGTCATACAGGTGAATGCTGCACACTAGTGGTGGATGAGTAGATTTCCCCCAATAATGTGTAAAGCACTTTGTGTATCCAGAAAAGTGCTATATCAATGTAAGGAATTATTGTTATTATTATTATTATTATTATTATTATTATTATTATTATTATTATTATTATTAAATTATATGAAATAAAAATGTTCTCCTGAGTTGTGTTGTTGAAGAAATATAGACAATATTACAGTTATTACTTGACAAAAGGGGCAGACAGATACAATAAGTTTTTTTTTTTTAATGTATCTAAAAACAGGCAAGAATGATCAACTGCTGCATAAATATACAAGTTAAAGTTATCGTCATTCTTTCACTCATGCACATACATGTGCATCAAACACTTATATTCAGCAGTCTATACGTGTCTGTTGCCTCATTACAAACCATGCGCAGAATTTACGTGAGATGGTGTCGGGGCCTTACAGTATGTCAATACCATGAGCTGAACTCGTATCGTTAAGCTATGATGGGCAGTCCAGATTTCCATACTATGGCAAATTTAAAGGTGTGCACAATGTGAATTTTTCCAAATGGCGCTGATAGTTGAAATCACAGAAACAAACATGCTCATAAGCCGACGAGTGATTTGTTTTCAGTTTTTTAACAGAAGTTCCAGAATCAGAAGTGCTCTCTATAATTTTAAATCCAGTTGTCATATGCAGAAAAGGGGGTAATAAAAAATAAATACAAGATACTTATGATGATGAGTTCAGTCTGTTTTCCTCCAAAAAACAAGTGCCTAGAAGGGTTTATGCATGTCACCTCGTACTGTTGATTTTGTATGCCATTTTATTTTCAACGGAAATCCACTGGTATAAAACTTACAGGCACGTCACAGTGCTGCTTCCAGTCAACACTGGCCATTTTTACATTTGCGGTGAACTGCAGACCACTTCAGAACCTCTGCCAGCATACGGTATAATTATCACAACCACGACTGCTGCATTCCTTCCTGTTAGCATAAATATTTTCTGTTGCATCTCAGCGGCTGCTACGAATTGACTCTTTAATGACACTTTTCCTGTTTTTAAAACTCCCACTCCCACATTGCATCTCAAAATAAAAGACGAGGATTTAAGTTGGTTTAAAAATCCTGACAAAAGACTGAATATCTTGACGTGGTGCTTCTATTTACAAACAGGAGGAGGAGATGCTGCGCATTTTGGTGAAATATGGCGTCCGCAGTGGCAAGACTGCAAACCTGGGACTGGAAGTGGATGGATTAACCTTTCACCCATACCATTCCGATATCATACAACGGCTTCGTCATCTCACTTATGACTAACATCATCATGCAGCCACAGCAGGAAACATGATACAGATCTCTATGTGTACTTTCACTCATATGTGAATGTAATGGAAAGATCTGCTAAATAAAAGTGTTTCAATTTATGTGCGCCCCTCTCGCTTTATTCAGCAATCTTCTCACAGTAAAGATTACTAATAAGAATAAATCATATTTTTTTAGGTAGCCTACTAGAGGAGCATAATTTCTTAAAGCTGCACTTGGAAGATGTTGCATTTGATGTATTTGCTGCATTTAGTTTAAGTGTTTGTGGTCATGATGACTCAATAAAAGAAAAAAATAAATAATTAAAATGAGGTTGTTACTATTGTTTTTGCAGTTTTGATTTTCAGTTATTTGCATTTGGAATAAAAAATTGGCAACACTTTATTTTGATGGTCCATTTGAGTATTAGTAGACTGTCTGCTTAATATCTGTTGATACTGCTCATTCAACAGACATTTAACTGACTATAAGAAACTTTGCAAGTACATGTCAACTTACATTAACCCTAACCCCAACCTACCAGTGTACTTATAATATATTGAGAATTAGTCTGCATGTAGATGCAATGTAACTCAACAAACGTACCATCAAAATAAAGTCTGACCAAAACGTCCCTTCAGTAGCTCAAATAACAGACATAAGTTGAGACTAATGTTGCATTAAAAAAAAGTTGTTGCACATGTATGCGCTGTGTAAAACATATGACGAAATAGTTGTCGGTTCATTCTGCTGTGGTGACCTCTGCCGAAGGAAAATGAATGATAGTCCACATAAACATATAACCATATAAACATATAAACAAACCACAATTTTACAACAATCAATTAAATTAAGATATTGTTAACAAAAAATAACAATGGTTTTGCAACTCTTAACCGTAACGTGGAATTTGAAGTCTTTTTTTTTTTTTATAGACAGAGTGCCAAAGTAAACATGGTAGTACACTTTTACTATAATTAAACCATGGTTAATTTTCATATTGAGGTCTGTTAAGAATACGTTGTCACTTGGAAAATACCAAATACTGAAAAAAAATTTTAAAAAAGAGAGAGAAAAAACAGCCTTTTTGGTTAATTCGCCCATTCCCTCCAACCCCCCAAAAGGGAAAGTAAAGTATCTTTAAAAAGTTACAGCACTCGTGATGAAAATATGATGACAAAATGCCAACACAAACTCAAGTAGCCAGATAGCCCGAATGAATCACTCTCGCGATACTGTAGTACTGTCTATATCGCGGGAAAACGCCAGGTTCACGTCGAGTCCGGTAAACACGGAAATCGGTCTGTGTACTGTTTTTGGCAAATATGGCTACAATTAATAAATAATGTTGTATAGATAGTTAAATAGTATAGCTAAGTAAACAGTTAAACGACCCGCTGGAGAAATACCCATCGCCAAAACAAAGCTTTGACTTACAGAAGGTAAGGATTCTGTCTAAACAAATATTCCACAGTGGCAAATGTTTGTTTGCTCCGATCACGGCTTGTGTAATGTTTTATGCAGATCTATATTTGCTATTGTTTATTGTTTTTAATATGGTTTGGAGCTCGACGGATCTTTAACATTAGAAATGGCGATTCCTCAAAGACCCAAACTGTCTGATTGATGCAGTTTTATTTTAAACCGCAGATGGCGACAGAGAAGCCAAATATCTCTAAGCGTTTAAATGTTCCAGTTATTCCTAGTACTAATAGATAAATCTAATTAACAGATGTCTGGTTTTATTAAATATATGTTGTGTGATATGGTATACACTTTATGCAAACCATGGAACTTATTGGTAATCAACTACGGGTACTTTTATGTCCTTTGATTATATATCCAAAAATAAATATAATTTTGTTCAATATTCTTTTTCTTTGTCAAACTAATAGAAAAACATACTTTTTGCTTTTTAAGTGTCAAATTTTCACCATTTTCACTTTGTCGCAAAATGAAATAAAAAAATAACATTTTAAAATATTTATGTGGTAACTGTTAATCCATCTTAATTAAGCACTAGTGAAATAGGTTAAATATTTTATAGTTATTATTGTGAGACTCTTATTAATATTTATTTTTATACAAATAGTTGTTTTACAGTATGAGTGTCGTTTCCACCACAATGCTGTAATGTTGCTTTAAAAAGTTTGTGTGATTATTTTGGTGGTTTCTATGAAAAAGAATAGTGACTTCAGAGCACAAGTTTAAGATATAAATATACCATAATAATGCTGCAATAAGAAAAAAAAAGAAATATTGTTACAAAACTTTTCTTATGCATCGGTCAGTATACACAGCTGTTTTAGTTCAGAACTGTGCAGTGTTACATAACCAATTCATGTCATTTGGAAATTTGTATATTATCACTGACCTTTTTAGAGATAAATGTCTTTCGACCTTCTAAGGTTCAAACTAAAATCAACACTGGAGTAGACTATTTAGAAGCCCCTAATTACAAAGTAAAATATACAGCAGAGTTTTAATTACGCTTAGTCTGGCTCTGGTTACACCTGAAAGTATTAAGCGTTTCTGTGGGACCGGATTAAAAAGCATGAAAATAAAATAAATAGTCAAATCCCTAATTTTCTCTAAAATAGTGCTGGATACGATTTTAGTGGGAATATGACTTTGTGCTAATTAATCACGGCTGTATTTAGGCGTCTGTTTATGCACCTCTGTTTAATGTCACAATTCTGCATCCAACAGAGTTAAATAATCAAAACCAAATAAAGATGGCCAAAACAATAAAACGTTCCTGAGTAACAAGACTCTGCTGGTGAAAGTCTTTCTCTGAACCAAACATGAGGTTGCTTTTGATATTTACACTTAAAGTTAATATGGGATATCCTTCCTCTAATAATATTTAGAGATGTGACAGATTTGGTCCTTTTTTCTGTTAGATTGTAATTTTATGGAGTAATTATTGGACTACGAGACCAAAGTTCATAGTTTGAAGTATTGGTATTTTCAGTCATTTGTACTGTTGTCCCTTCATTTATTAAATAATTTTTTTATTGCTGCCCTGCTGTTTTTACAAAGCATTTTTGTCTGTCTTTTTATGTCATATTTTTTATTGTGTTAGCTGGCTGGTCTGGAAATTACCTAAAGCAGCTATTTGCAAATTTTTATTATTTTTATTATTTATTATTATTTATTAAGTCGTAATTAACAGTATATTTATAGCTAAGTAGTTAAACAAGAAAACATTTCCTTTTGCGATTTTGAAACGTTTACATGCGGTAGATTACAATCTAAGGACAGTTCTTGTTAAAGGTGCAGTATGTAAGATTGTAATCCAGTGGTTCTATTTCTCATAGCTGAACAATAGAATAAACCTCTATGACAACAATCACCTCAGGTACTGGTTATGTGCTTGTTTCAGTGTTAAATGCTACCAGCGTGAGTTTGAATGCCTTTTTATATAATATTTATTGAAAAACAGTGGCAAATAGTAGCGCTTTTTCACTTTACAGCAAGAAGGTCGCTGGTTTGAATCTTGGCTGGGCCAGTTGGCATTTCTGTGTGGAGTTTGCATGTTCTCCCCGTGTTAGCGTGGGTTTCCTCCGGGTGCTCCGGTTTCCCCCACAAGGTCAAAAACATGCAGTATAGGTGAATTGGATAAGCTAAATTGTCTGTAGTGTATTTGTGTAAATGGAAGTGTATGGGTGTTTCCCTGTGATGGGTTGTAGCTGGAAGGGCATCTGCTGCTTAAAAACCTATGCTGGATAAGTTAGTTCATTCGACTCTGGCGACCCCAGATTAAAAACGCAAAGAAAAGAAAACGCAAATGCCGAAAAGAAAATGAATGAATGAATGAACTTTTGGAAATGAACTTTAGAAATGTGACTGGGCGCAAACCAACAAATATTAGTCCCTCAGCTAGCACTTTTAATGTTAAAGAAGTTTTATATTAAGTAGACTGTAAACCTGACCACTTTAATGAGTGCACTACTCTGTGCTTCTGAATGGCTGCGTTTTGTCTTGTTACATCTGGTGCAGACGGTCAAATTGCTTGTTGCTGGAATCTTGTGAGTGGTGTGTTGTTTGGACACAACGTAACCTGCTCAGCTAATGTTTACATTTTGTAATATTTATATAATTAACTATTTAAAAAACACCTAATGTGGATTTTTAGAACTCTGAATCTGCATCTCAAGGCAACACTGAGTGCTGAAATATAATTGGATAAACCAGCAGTGGGTGGGTTATAGAGGCCAAAACAAAGACACAGTCATAGAATGCACATTTTTAAAGGAGAATAGCTGACTTCAGAATTATTTTTCAGATAAACAAGTATGTTCACTTCGCATGCTTCTTAAATATATGCAAAAACTTTGGTGTTTTATGTTTCAAAAACGTACAATACATACAGCACATTTAACACTGATGCGCAAACATGACTAAAAACACTACATTACATCAGAGCTGTAGTTGGCATAATACATTTTGCGTAACATATTTTGGTTTTCTATGGATGTATTGATCAACTCAACTTGCAATTATATAATTTCTATTTTATTGAATCTATACAAATTAAAATTTAAGACAAATGTATCTCATTTTAAAAGAAATCCCAAATCAAATAAATAAGTGAACAACACAAATAAAAAGATATCTTTGTAAGAACAAGCTGCAATTTTTAAGTAATATCAGCACACCTTAATTTACCCGCTGGATCTTTGCACATTCACAATAGGCTAGCTATGGCAGGCATGGTAGTTGCACAATGTTTGACCATTATCGTTTTTTTTTTTTTTTTTTTTAATTAAAGCTGTTTACTTCAGTTGTACACATGGATCATCTTAAATGCAGTTTCGCTGATTGAATTGGAGATGACTGACAAGACACAACGTGAGTGCTTTGACAAATATTGGGGTTAAATAAATACTTCCAATATAGACTAGTCTGAAAAAAACTATTATCTTTAGTGCAGGCATCTTAACTAAGTAAACTAAAATTAAATGAATAACTGAAGTGTAGACTCACTAAATGTCTCAAAGTGGGCAAAAGTAATGCAAAATAATTTTACCTAAACGATAGTTAAGCAAAAACAACGAAAATCATAATCATGAAATGTATTGTTAAAGACATCAGGTAAGAGGTGAAGGTCATATTTATA